GTGAAAATACAATCAAATTAAACTTAACATTTAACAACATTTTGTAAAAGGAATAAGTCTTAGAAAGCAAACTATTAAAAACCCTTGTATATATATAATTCATAATTGCACAGATGTGTTTATCATCATATTCTTACAATCAACAACATAACAAAATAATAAGCTGAGCTACAGCATCTTCATACTAACGTGTTATGTGGACCCAAACAATAATTTGAGATTATTAAATTATAATAGTGTGAATTAGGTTCTTTGAAATAATTGAAAATCATACACACATCTCTAACTGACATCAATATTTCAGATATGCTTACTGCAAACAATGATATCTTATATATAAGAGGGCCACAAGGATGGAAATATTAAAATGTACACCTTTAGCTCTAATGCAGTGTATTCTTATGAGTGTGCTTTATTCGGGATTCCTACCAGAAACTCATAGAAGCGCATTCAGAATATATGCAGCCTCTAAGATGGATGCCCTAAAAAATATTCTTTAAATGTGTGAACCTGTTTGTCAAATCAGCTCCAAATCAAAACCTAGTAAAATCCCCTTGGCTCCGTAAACAATAGATATGTTTCCACCTATGGTTAAAAAATATATCAATCTGCACCAGTCTCAGAGGGAGGAGAGAGCTGTCAGAAAAGATGAGCTAGAATATAGATGAAAACATCAAAAGGGGGAAGAGGAGCACAACATGATCCCATATAAGATAAAAACGTGCATGTAAATAAACAAGATAACAGAAAACCCCAAGCAAATAAATATGACACTTACATTATATCTGTATACTTAGACAATTTGCCCTATTGGAGATAAACTCTAAGTCAAAATCCTAAAATCACAATCGGGCACTAACTCAGTATTTCCAATGTGACCTTCATGATACAATGTTTGAAAAACCACATGACACTTATGGTTGAGGTTTAGTCTGACATCTCTGTGGTTATTAAAGTCAACATTTATATCCATATCCTTCCCAAACCAAAGTTTTAGGAGGGTAATATTCTCTGTGGATGGATCCCCCATAAAATATAGATTTATTTTGTGTCAGTTTAAAAACTCCTTTAGGGTTTTCAAATATTTAAGGTAGTTGCATGACGATCACTAGAGCACGTTTACTTGTAAGGGAAACATGGATCAGGTATTTTCTGATTCTCATGTCGTACCCAGTGCCATATTAAATGAGAACAAATGCTGATATGTCTCTGCAGCAGCGTGGCCATACGGTATAGTGATAAAGGCTTGACATGCTGCAGAAAATGCCTGTCCCGCTGAATCTACCGCAGACATCTGGTGTCATTTGTATCTAAATGGAACACACACTGCATGACTGATGAGTAAGAGAAAATTCTAACTTGTAATATCCTTTGAGGGAAACAGGTGTCCAACGTAAGACGTTTAAAATAGTAATCAAGTTAAGTATTGTACCTCAAAATATAACTTGAGTAAATGTTCAAACTTACTTTAAACAACTGTCAACATTAAAATATATAGAGAGAAGACTTTATTTAGAGCAGGGGTGCCCAACCTTTTTTGAACCGAGAGCTACTTTTAAAGTTGCCAGTCTGCCGAGATCTACCAGTCCAAATAGAGAGACGTAGCCATTACTGACAGCCTACTACCAGGTGAATACACACTTCTACTTGTATAAAACTGACCTTCGTACGATTAATACTCCATAAAATAATGCAGATCCTTTATCTTACCTCTTTCTAATCTACACACATACAAGTATTTAACTGAAGTTACACAACAGTGTTGTTGATACAGAGTTGGAGTTTATTCACACGTCACTACAGTGGGTAATGTTTTCAAGAAACATTGAACAGTGCTGCCACATATGACACAGGAAGAAAAGAAAAGACTCTGAACCCTTTCTTTGTCATTATATAAAAATAGTGTTGCTACAAAAGTATAAATGAGGCTTACTAATAAGACAACTCAGATCTGAAGCTACACAGGAATCTGCTGCAACAGTGCAATAAAAAAGACAAAATTAATAGAATCAAACCCTTTTTTTGTTGAATTTTAGTAGAGTATAAAAATAAATGCCTTTTAAAATAGGATGCAAGCAACACTAGTTTCTTAACCTGAATTGATATAATCAATTTAAGTTTGCATTCTTATACCATTTTGTACAATAATTATAATGAATACGTTCAGACAAACTAAAACTTACAGCTGATTAATAACAGTATCTAACTTGAGTTTTTATTATATCAAAAACCTATTGAAATGCTACTGTTATTTTTACTGTCCCCAAAAAGCGCGTCGGCAGCCTCCAGGAATGCTTCTTTCACAACTTCGCCATCTTTGAAAGACTTCATGTGTTTCGCAAGAACGTGACTGACACGATAAGATGCTCTGGCAGCAGCCTTGCTCTTGTTGTTGGGCCTGGTGAAAATGGACTACTGTGCATTTAGCTGTCCTTTCAGGCCCCTCCCCTTTTGGAGCGTAGGGCAGAATTAGGAGGGAATTCCGTCTCGTAGCGTTTGTGCACTGTTTTGAAATGTCGCTCCTAAATTACCCTTCTTCGACAAAGCCACGCTCGCATTGCAGATGAGACAGATAGACTTTGAATTGGAATAGATACAAAAATAATCATCCTCCCACTCGGAGTGAAAATTATATATTTTGGGCTTTTTTGCTTCTGCCATAATTACGGTCTTGTGTGTGTGCGGACTGTCACTCCTTTTAGTTTTGACACGGACAAAGTCAGCGAAATAATGCCCACTGCCCACCAGCCACGCCCCCACACATGGGGTCACGCCGGCCAATCACAAAGCTTTGGTGCGTTCAAGTGCATTATTCTGGCACGGGAAGATTATGTTATAGGACATTAACGATAAAACAGAATATTGTTGTTCTATTTTTAGACACATCTCGCGATCGACTGGGAATCTCCCCGCGATCGACCGGTCGATCGCGGTCGACTGGTTGGGCACCCCTGATTTAGAGTTACACTGTTACACTGCTTGAAAAGCAGAAGATACGTGCTCCCCTCCTGTTTGTCTCTCTGTCTCCCTGCTGCACAGACACACCAGGTCCGCCCCTGGCTCCGCCTCCCCCGGGTGTCCTAATTACGTTCAGCTGGGGACTTGAAAAGCAGAAGCTGGAGGCAAAGGGACGTGGCCTGTTCATCCTGATGAGCTACTTTCTAACAACACAATGGCTCTTTAGATCATTAATAATTTCACCACATCACTTTGAGATATACAGTGAAGACTCTGAAAATAATTACCGAGTTAATCAGCACAAATAATAGCTAACAACATTGCAGCTGATGGGACTAAATCAAAAGGTCATCTCTAATATCTCTGTGCGAAGGTTATGTTCCCGGCTATAATGAGAAACAACTCATTACGACCCATCTATTATTTTTTGCTTGATTAATCATGTTCTTGTAATAAAAACCTGTCAGGGTTACTGCGGAGAAAATTATTCCTAACAGTGTCAAACTTTATGTGAAGGAATTATTTGTTCACATTGTTTGACTCATGGGTCTCCTGAAGTCACTCCTACTATAGCTGGACATCCTGTCAACTGTCCACACTTTGTCCTCATAAAATCACTGAACACACACCCCGTTAGACGAGTAAATAAGCACTTCTGTCAGGATGGCAAATTATTATGAACCATCAGAAAGAACTGAAACAATTTGGGTTGAGTATTTGGAATATTGCTAGTTGATTACCTGTTTGGTAATCCCATTGGAAGGTATTTGGCAAGTAATTGGATGTCTTCAATTATGTCGAAAAACTGAAGTTTCTTTTGTATTCTTCATGTGCAAATAGTCAAACATGTTCATTACCAGCACGCAACATCAGCAACTCCATTCAAAAAGATCAACACTAAAAGGGTTCCTTATAAGTTGTTAAAGTCATCCTGGGGAGGGCTTCATGACAATTTCATCCAATAATTGTTGGGACATTTCACTCAACATCAAATATGTCAATAGAAAGAAAGTCAGGGGACTTTTAAAATAATTAAAATTCATCCTTTGGGGACAAAAAATACCCATGGCAATACATCTATTGCTGTAAATACTTCAGTCTGATCAGCAGACCAACATTGCTATCCCTAAAGAGTCAGTGCAAACACGGATAATATCAACACCAACTTTTAAAAACTGTCTTTCTTCCTTCATACCTACTCTCTTACTCTCTCAACCTTTTTTCTTATCATTGAAATGTTGGCAAAAAGAATGTGTGGTTCTGTTACTGGACTTTCGTTGGCAGGAGCATGGATCTAAGGGTTCTTTTTAAAGGTTGAAGACCCCTTTGCTGAAAGAGAGCAATGTGACAGTGCCATGTTTAAAAATACAATTGTATGGTGCATACAAAACTAAACAATTAAAATATAGCTTATGAGATTGCAAGACGATGTCAGGGTAACAGTTCACTCATCATCAATCATGTGAAAATTACATTTATTTTCGTCTAGCTTTACAGATTTGATCTTGGCAAATTAAACATTAGATTCATGTTTTTGTGAAGTGTATTTTCTAACATTGTCTGCCCAGCTGTCTGTCTCTGTGGTGGAGGAAGGTGTTGGACGTGTCAGCACCACGCAGTGACTGTACCTCAGGCAGCATTCTCTCTGGATCTCAGGTCAGTCTTATATAAGCTCCTTTCTGCTCCGTTATGTGCTTTTATTCAGGGATCTAAGCCTCTATGTTCGGTACACCTCTGATGTACTGTGGGTCTGCAGGAACGTCCACTGATGGTGGCACAGTGTCATCTGGTGGAGGGAAACTGAAACACGTGCACGCTGCCTGCATCTCAGCCTACATCAGCTACATAAACCAGGTCAGTAAAGGGACAGTCTTTCAATACTGATCAACTCTATTATCTATAAGTGTGTTGAAATGAGCTGGCCATGACTCAGCTTACATTAGATAATCCTTTATAGTCTGTTTCCTTGAAAATATAATAATTTTAAATCTTGTACATGGCATTTCAGACCACCTCGTGACAACACTACACCACTCCTGCTGCTTCTTCATCATCATGTCCTTTATTAAGCTGATTTAGTAGATGCTGCTTAATGCTAAACAACAAATTGCTGACAGCATGAGGTATAATAAAATTAAATCAGCACAAAATGAAACTGGGTGGCAGATAATTAAAATATGTTTAATGCATGTCTTTAGTGGCAAAATATTTCACATAAATGAGTTGGAATTTCTTGTTTATGCACAGTCAAAATGTGCATAAATGTAATTAGTCTATGTATAATAATGTATTATTAGCAATCAAATGCACTTATTTACAGATGAAGAACATAATATATACAGTATATCCTACAGTGGGCACAATGTGTTCCCTTGTTTCCCTTTTACAATCCAAACATGTCCGATAGTTTAACATATTTTAATGTTTCATTAAGGCACAATAGAATAATAAAAATAGATAACGGTAAAAATGTACTGTTATAAGACATGTTAAGCATTGCAAATATAAATATCTTTGGAGTTTATCAAATCTCTGAGACCCTCTGCTACATTTAATCCTACATGGATCTTAACATGAACATTGTGTCCAGCTTCATATTGTTTTCTAGCAGAACTGATTTGAATTCATGTTAGATATGTTGGCAGTTATTAGGACACCAACCAACAAATGTCATATTCAAACAACTTTTTGTTGTCTTATTTGTTATCTGCCTATTGATTGCATAGTCTTTTCTTGTCAAGAGTATATTCAATTTTTATGCTTCATACGGTCAAATGATGGTCTCTATTTGGCACTCATTTGAGTCGCTACAAACAGACCTACATATTTCAAAACTTGACACATTGCACAAATGCCCTGACAGCTTACAGTTTGGGGAATCTATTTAAATCCATCACACCATGCCCTCGATGGTGTCCAGCTTCGGGGAATGCTCAGCCTTAGTGTGAGGCATTTCCTGCTGTTCACAGACCTGCTTGTACTCTTTCAGCAGCTTCACCACCTCGACATGTCCGAACTGCAAGGCGTCATCCACCGGGAGGTTGCCCCACCTGCACAGCAACCGATACAAAAGGTAACGGTGAAGAGAGTCATAAGCTGATTAAACATACAGGGGGATTCTCAGCAGTGCACATTTAAAGGTGGGGTATGTAAGTTTGAGAAACCGGCTCGAGATACACTTTTTGTTATATTCCTGCTCTTAACATCCCGATAGCAATGAATATCTTAAGTGCTTTGACAAAAAATACATTAAAAAATGTCATCTGTGGAAGCCGTAGTACTGTAAAAAGCACGACCAATTATCTGAGCCGGCCCGGCTAAAGTAACTGGATGGCCTACCTGCCTGTCAGCCTTCCATCTGTGCACAAACTTATCTCGTGCCCTCATTGGTCATGTGCGCGTTCGTGTGTGTTGGAGGAGGGGCTCTGTAAGGAAGTGGCAGATTTTCTCCGGCTGTGTATTTTCTAATTCTAGCGCACTCGAGCTGGTTTCTCCAAAATTACCTTCCCCACCTTTAAGAATTCAACTTTTTTCAAATTCAAATGAGTAGGTAAAGACAAATTAACCTAAAAAAGATTCACTCTTAGGATGTATTTATTAATTTACACTGGAAATTCTGCCAATATGGAATAGGGATCCACATCTGGCTCAGCACGAAAATAGTTGTTCTTTGTGTGAGCATGTTTATAATAGAGATACAAAGTTTGTGATAGCAAGTTTCCAAATTGCAAAAAAAAAAACATTTCTAAAAGTTCAACTTCTACTAGACGACTGCCATTTATGGTAAGTGGAATTTTACGTAAATTGTAATATAAGCTACTTAAAGTGCCTCCTCTAAGTGGTTAGGGTTAGGGTCGTTATGCCATGCGCTCAATTATAATGGTACCATTTTTACTGAATTTCCCAAAAAAAATGTGACTTGATTTGCTCAGGGAAAAACTGATCAGAAATCACCTCACGGGTGACGGATGGGAAGAAGCATCTACTGTTACATTTAATTCTCAGCCAAATTAGCTCACAAAAAAGAATAGGAAATGTTTTGAATTCCATTTGAAAACAACATAAAACAGACAAGAAGTCAACATTCATGCATTCGTCTCCTCCCGGTTGGATTACTGCAACGGAGTCCTGTTCGGGGTTCCAGTAAAGCCCTGGACAGGCTCCAGTATGTGCAGAACTCGGCTGCCAGGGTGCTCACTCACACCAAGCCCTGGCAGCACATCACCCCCACCCTGATCCACCCACACTGGCTCCCAGTCAAGCACCGTATCACCTATAAACTCCTTCTTCTGACTTACAAATCCCTCCATGCCCTCGCCCCCCAATACCTGTCTGACCTTCTCCGCTACCACACTCCATCCCGGAAGCTAAGATCATCTGGACAGGATCTCCTCTCCACCCCCCGCACCAGGTTGCGGACTTTTGGTGACAGAGCCTTCAGTGTGGCATCCCCCACCCTCTGGAACTCTCTCCCCCCCGAAATCCGCAGCGCCCCAACCCTGGACATTTTCAAAAAAGCCCTCAAAACGCACCTTTTTACCAAGGCTTTCGCCACTGTATAGTTAGTTTAATAGGTTTATTTTTCCGCTACTTCCCCCCCCCCCCCACCCCCTTAACCTGTCTGCCTTTTTTCCCCTACTCCCCCCCCCCCTACCCGACTTGCAAAGCGACCTTGGGTTTCCTGAAAGGCGCTATAAAAATATTATTTATTATTATTATATGTGATCCTGTTAAAAGGCTTTATTTAGCTGTTTAGAAATGAAAGAAAAGGATAGAAAGAAAGTTCTCACCTGTCTTCTACAAATGGATTGACTTTGCAGGTCTCAGTAAGGAACTTCACCACATCTACATGACCTGAAAATAAATCATGAAGACAACCGTTTAGTTTCCCTTCAGATAGAGTTAGAGACAATCTTTATCTAAAAACACTGTTTCCACTTGGTGTCGAAAACAATGCTAGAGCAGCATACCGCTTTAAATCATATTGCCCCAAGCAAGCAAGCCAAAGCAATGACAAATAGTGGGTGAAATATAGCTGCTGAGACACACACTACATGGGAAAAAAGAATGATCACTATTCCTTCCAGTCACAATCCAAATCAGAAACAGATTTAAGAGTTCACAGCTTTTTCATTTGGAGGAAAAATATAACACCCATTTGCTCTTTTTAAGAAATGTTACTGTTGAAGAAACAGCAGCAGAGAAATAAATCTGTGCTGTGAATAAACTTAAAGCACAACAACAACAAGATGAATAATCAACCAAAGGCTTCTCTGAGTTATGTGAATGTGAACCAAAGCAACGGTGCCGCCATAGATCCACTAATTATAGCCGTTTACGTGCACTGCAAGTAAAACACAAGTACTCTGTCAACTCAAATTAACTTAAGTGTTTGATACAGGTTCGCTTGAGTGGTTTAAACCAATCCTCATTTCTGTGTACATTACTCTTGCTTAAGTAAAACAGTAATTTGTTCACCTGCTTTGATGTTGGGCACAGCGTTTGAGTCTGTGGTAATAGTAGTTTTATATCAGGATATCTATAAGTGGTTGATTTCCACTTTATTGGAGTTCATACTTGTCTTCTTTTTATTTGGCTCATTCCCTCATTAGCCCCACAGTACAAACACCACCTCACTCTCACTTGTCCCCTGCAAGATTGTGTTACGTGTATTGCCAAGCTCTCCAGCGTTCAGTTTGTATTAGCCGGTATATCTGCTCTGCCCGTTTCTGACCCTTACTGCCTGATTTCGGACCTCGAGTTTTCTGCCGAATGTGTTTGCCTGATTGACAGATCCCCTGGCTTTGGATCCCTATTCTGACTGTCGCCCTTCATTGGAATTGTTTTCCTGACTGATGGATATCCTGGTTTTGACCCTGCTTGAATCAGGCTTAAGCAAAACAGTTCTCCAATCTTCTGTCTGTATCTGAGTTGCGCTTCCAGTCCCCACCTGGGAACATTACAGATTTAGTGTTGCTCATTCACTAATTATCAGGACAGATCATGCAGAGCTCACCTTCTGCTGCAGAGATATGTAGAGCGGTTCGAGAATCATAGTCTTTCAGGTCCATGTCCATGGATGAGAGAGCAAACCTGAACGAAGAAATAGAGTAAGCAGCACAATTGATTATACTTTTTATACATCAAATAAAACGTTTCCCCAGAGAGTCATACCAATATGAAACTATAAAAACCTATTTCAGCATTGACTTGCAAGTGGCTTTATGATTGTTTTACATGATGTAGACAGACTGTGTTATATTTCACAAACCAGACTGAAATAAATACATAAAGTGTCCTCTAAATATGTGAGATCCATGCTAAGCAGCATTAAAGCAGTTTAATAAACTTAACTAAGACACTTGTGTTTTCCATTTGTATCATTTGTTGGCCTTCTTATTGTTTCCAGTACCCACGCCTGCTGTTAACATTATAAAGGGCATTTGTTATACAAGAAAAACTATTTTCATGTTTGCTGGTGATGTACCTTCTCAGGGCAGACACATCTCCACTGTAGGCAGCGAACATCAGATTAAATACAGACTTGTTCTGCAAAACACAGCAAAAACAAACTTAAACATGGGAGGCAGAAACCACATTTGACATACAAGCAAGAACAAACAAATAAACAAACCCTGTCGTCTCCATCTGGTCTGCGAGGATCCTGCTTCTTCACAAAGTGCCTCAAGTTGTCATAGTTGTGGAAATTGAAGAGCGAAACGAGCTCCTGAGGGCGATAAGAGAGGATATAACTGTTAGAGGAAGAATACTCAGGAAAACATATGTATTATTTGTATGCTTTAGGACAAAGAAAAGTATTATGCAAACAAAAACTAGACAAGATTTAAGAGGACATATTCTGCTCATATTAGTATGTAGTGTCTCCACTGTGACATGTCTCCATGCTTTGATGTTCAATAAAGTCTTTATTTTCTCATACTGCCTGTGCTGCAGCACCTCTTTTCACCCTCTGTCTGAAACCAGAGCCCAGTCTGCTCTGATTGGTTAGCTGGCCGGCTCTGTATGGATTGGTCAACTGCTTAGAGATGTTATGAGCCTTTGCAGACAATAAACATGCACAATAAACGATATAACACTCTACAAAAAGCATTATAGGGCCCCTTTAACAGAAGATTTAAACCTATGGAGTCACTGATGGGATGTAAACTGCTACATCACAGGACACTGGTTTTACTTTATTAGTTAAAAGCCACAAACTAACTCTGCTCCATTCAGGGCTCGAGCTTAAGGACGTCCCGTCGTCGAAAAAAATAGTGTCAGGGAGGATAAAAAATAATTTTGAGACGAATTTGGGACGAGAGTTAAAATAAAAATACCCTGCTAACTCTACTACAAACGGCGATGAAAATGAAACCGACTGCACGTTTTGTGTAGCACACAGTTATTAAACCTCCTTGTCAACATAAACACGCACAAAACATTTAGCAACCCGCAAAATACCCACCCACACAGTACGTAGCTACACACACACACCACACACACACACACACACACACACACACACACACACACACAAACACACACACACACACACACACACACACACACACACACACACACACACACACACACACACACACACACACACACACACACACACACACACACACACACACACACACACACACACACACACACACACACACACACACACACACACACACACACACACACACACACACACACACACACACACACACACACACACACACACACACACACACACACACACACACACACACACACACAATGGGTAATAAGGCTGAGAAGAGAACCCTCCATCGTATTTAGTCCTTAGCAATATGCTGCGCCTCTCCCCATGTAGGGATGGGTACCGAGCCCCGGTGTTAAACGGGCCCCGGGCCGGAATTATTAAAGACAGTGGTAACGTTAAGCTCCGACGTTATCGGACTTTTTATCGGTGCTGGAGACATTTAAAAAATATATGTCATATGTATTATTGCTACATACACATTATATTGCAGTTTTAGGTTCGCCAACTCCGTTTCTAATATGCAATAAGACTACAACATGCGTCTATGATGTATTTTTGAGCTTTCCAATCCAGATGAGATCTCTCTCTCCCGTCTGTGTGCGAGGGGGCGCGGCCATTTGTAAAGGTCTCCTGACTGTGTTACAGACTGGTGTTACAGACTGTGTTAGTGAGTAACCACTAACCAGGACTGTCATCCTGGTTAGTGGTTACTCTGGGTTCTGTCTTCAGGACAGTGTTGGATTTTTTTGATAATTGGATGGGACTTGATTGGATTCAATATTAGAGTAATTTTCTCATGTGTGTGTTTATTTAAATATATTTGGCCTTTGTTTATGTGATTTACTCAAATAAAAAGGTTGATGAATTATCATCTAATGAGTTGTATGATGTTTTATTTATGTTAAAGGTCACTTTGAATGATTTTAACTAATGATAATGTAGAAAAACTAACATTTTAAATTCGGGACGGTCCACATTAATTTCGGGACGGCTAAGATTGTATTTCGGGACGGTTCCGGGAGGATGGTGAAAAAAGTTAGTCGAGAGCCCTGGCTGCATTAATCATTGTAAGCACCTTCCAACAATCAATAATACTGATTGTTTGAGCCTAAACTCTTAAGTTTCTGGTTTTGGAAGAATAAACCTTAATTGTGTTCTAAATCAACATTAATGTGTTTAACTAAGCAGGTCCTTATTCATTTCTTCAGCAATGAAAGTTACTTGTAAGATTTAAAAACTTCAGACTTTGGAGCCATTGAGTGACTATATAAAAACACACAGAAAACACCAGCAGACAGCAATACCATAAACATATGCCATCAGATGCTATGACATTGTGCTATAGGGGTCTTATTTAAGTATCTCTACTTTACCATAAAACGTATAAATAGAAAAGCACAACTTCATAAACGGTAACATATTGCCCTCACCAGACAAAAGTGTATTCCCCGAACACTGTTTCCCACTCTGTCCAGAGGAGGAGACCAACACATCACCCCCATGACGTTGGGGATGACCAGCAGAATGGCGCCGGACACCCCCGATTTGGCCGGCACTCCCACCTGGAGATGAGAGTTTACTTCACTTCACAAAAATACATTTAATTCCCAGAGATCCAACTGAAGAGATCAGATTCTATGTTTGATGCTTCTGAGCTTGCACAACTGATCTGTACTCACATGAAAAGCCATCTGGCCAGAGAAGTCGTACATGCCACACGAGTGCATAAGACTCAAAGTGTTCCGCACTGCCTCGGCACTTAGGACATGCTCGCCTGTGATTGGACAGATTCCTCCGTTGGCCAGCGTGGCAGCCAGAATACTTCCTGACTCACAGGTCACCTCGATGGAGCAAAGCTAAGAACAAAAGAGGAAAATACATTTTAAATCAATCTCACGCTACTCATGATTATTGATTGAATAACCCTTCATAATAAGCTCCATGGCAGAGCAGTTTACCTGGAAGTAGAAGTCCAGGGCATCGATCATATCTGCTCCTGGGGGAAAACACTGGTGAAGGAACGATAATCATCATGACTATTGGATTGACTAAAGTGTGTTGGCCTAGCGCTGTTCAATTATACTATGATTTCTCAACCAGCAAAAAATCAAGATTATACGTGTCAGGTTGCAAAACTCTCTTATTCTGGCCCCTTAAATAGGGTCCAAAGTTATTTTATAACTCTATGACATGATAAAGTGTTGATGCACACAGCGGTGTTGGAGATATACAGAGAAGCTATCTAAAAGGAACTTCAGTTGAAGATCGGTGGTCAACCAAATGAATGACGGTAGCGAAAATGGATAAAGGCTAATTTGGGTAAATACAAACCTAAACGATACATCATTTGAAATGGTGTTCTCTGATATATATACTTGTAGGTCTATTAAACAAAGAAAAGATAAGAACATATTATGAAGACAATGTAGTGATCAAGCTTGACTTTCTTACACTATTTGATTCGTCAAAGCCACATCTTTACAGGTTTCAACTTTTCCCATGTTATCTCTTTTTTATTTGAATGTAAACTGATGTAATATTGCTACTTTTTTCACAGTTTCTGATTGATTGAATAAGAAATCAATTAATAAACTGAATACTGGCAGATTCATCTGTAATTAAAACATTACAATTTGTCTAAGGAAACATAAAACCATGTGAATTCAAAACGTGCAGTTGGATATAGGTATGTAAACATTAAGCAGCAGGAAATAAAAAACATTTCTAAACCCACATTTTCAGCCCTCTCTAACTGACCTTCTTCTCTTTCATGTAGTATCCGATGGCAAAGTTTCTGTCGCCCGTTTCTTTTTCTGACTGGAACCTGAGACAGAGAGGCAGGAGGGGTCAGTACTAAAACATAAATAATGCAATAGAGCATTGCACAGGCCTTTTTCTGTGTCTTTCAATGTATGTGTGATAAATCGAGGATATATTAACTCAAAATACCTCAGATGTATTTGCAGTACACTCACATGGCATTGCTGAATCCCACATACTCTTGGCCGGCCATCTTTTTCACAAAGTCCATAACCTGGGCAAACAAAGACACCATTTTAAGTGTACTGCTGCATCCATGACCACTGACACAATCAACTCTGTATGTGTCTTTGTGATTCATATTCATGGTGCAACCAGAAAATAGGAAAAGTACTTACATAGTCAAACTTCTCTGCCTTATTGGAACGAGGCTGAAAACCAAGCGAGAGTGATTTTCTTGTGTTGATTGTAATTGCTACAATCATACCATTCATGCATTTATAATACTACTTATTACACAGGCTAAAACGATACATGAATATATCACTGATTTCATAATTTAGTACCCTATTATCAGCGCGTACAGTGCAAGGGGAAAGATAGCCGATCATAAACCACAGAGCTCAAGTATTTCACAAACAGGACTTCAGACAAAGTTTGTTGAAAAGCACAAAACTGCTTTCTATTAAGACCTTCCAAATAACATTCACATCCAAATCCAGTTAACATTTCACCAAAAACAAATGTCATACATTAGGATGTTTTTGTATAATATATTAATAGCTTGTTGATTCATGACAGGCTTTATCATTAAGACCATCATCACATCAACAGGCTTACTCAGCAACCCACAGGCTCTAAACTAGAATAAATTGCACATTTCATTATTTAAAATACGTCACTGATTGTTCTACAAACTCAAAGTGAAAATATTTAAAGAATAAGCCTTAATACTTGACAGTGTTCTAGTTAAAAGATACTTGTCAATACAAGTTAAGAAAAATAATGACTATAACTCATGTATGCAATAAATGTGTTTCACAACAAAGAGCAAACATTTTATATTCTTTTTTCCCTGATTATTTTAGCTGACTTTGTGCAGCGTTAGCACACTTTAATGTTATTCCTAAAACTTCCAGAGGGACTCCTGTCATTTTGTGAATACAAACAATATTACAAAAATCTAAAGCTTGTGTGACTCCAATGTCAAAGCAACAGTTTGTACAATAATCCCGCTTACACACTTTTACTAAATGGAGATTAATTTGCAGTGTGTGCTGACTCGACCATCACACAGCAGGCCATTCATGTCCATCTGCTCACCTTGATAAGAGAGCTGATCACAATGGCTCCTGCGTTCACCATGGGATTGTGGGGCTTATCTGGGAGAAAGGACAACGAGATACGACGAATGTTGAAGCATAAATCTATAGTATAACAAAAATGTATCATACTGAAGTTTAACATTTACTGAGAGCCAAAGAGGTGCTGTACATGCTGCAATTCAGCTGAGGTTGTGATGGGGAAAAACGATATGAGCCCGCCTGACCTGCATGACCTGTCCCATACAATTAATTGTATTGCTTCTTTTATGATCAATCAATTGTTTCTGTAGTTTATATATGTTATGTGAAAGTGGCGGCGCCAGAGATTTTCTCTAGGGGGTGCTGTGGGGTAGCTTGACATTTCATAGAGGGTGCTCAAACATTAAGGATTTCCCATTAATGCACCAGCGCTACAGTTGCATTTTCTACTGCAACACTCCCCACACGCACACACAGTGCACCCGCGACTGTTATAATGAAGGCTCGATAATCAGCTCACGGCATATAGGTGTAAGCAGGAGTAAAGTGCTATTTTTACAAGTGGGGAGTGGACCTCACGTCCTCTAGTGGGGTCCGGGGGGATTTTTTTTTAAATATTGAAGTTAAAAGCATCAATCTGGTGCACTTAGAGAGCAACATTAAGAGATCTATGGATACATCTCTCATCACCCAGATGAAACAGAACTGTAAACAGATGTTCTATTTCTTCATAGACATTTTACAAATCACTCCCCTTTTAAAACAAACCGTTTGAGACCCACTGAGATAACTAGACTAAAGTTAACTATCTAAACACTGAGAGTCCTTTACTTCACCTGAGCTGAGGTTATCTGAGACTCTCAGTCTGACAGGAGATAGTTCTCCCTCCACCTTGTTGTTGAAAAAGCTCCTTATACCCGTTAGCTTGGCTAGCTAGCACCAGATGCTAACCACAACGATCTCCGGTAGATACCCACCGGTGCGCGAGCTCTCTCTCTCTCACTCGCGCATGCACACAAAATGGCTCGGGCCATCACACACACACAGAGCAGAGCTTGAATGAAACACAGAGACCCAGAAGTAAGCTACTTGTACTCACGAGGCCTATTATGTGCAGAATCCCTCTTGCTTTCAGGTGGTTTTGGTTTTGATTTGACGTGGACGTTTAAGGACTAAAAAACGATAATTGTTTTCACTTTGCTGTTAGCAAATCATTTGGCGCTCTAGCTAACAGGAAGTCACTCAAGTGTCACAAAGTAATTTAGCCTATGGGTAGGTCAAAAATCGAATGGGTGCTGGCCATTGGCCTAATCATATCACCTGTGTTGGCTTTATGTTTTTGGTCAAACATTTGTTTGTTTCACATTTGCATTGATGTAATCAATACTTTTTCGAATTTAATAAAAATAATAATAATTTTGGAAAAAAACATATTTCTTGGGGGTGCTTTGGCAATCCTGGGGGGTGCTTCAGCACCCCCTAGCGCCGCCCCTTTGTGAAATGTAGCTTTGAATTTAGTTGTGAGCCTAAGCTCAAAGGTACATTGCTTGTAAGAAAAAAAAGACAAAATATAAAAAGCTATGATACGGTGAATATAAGATGGACCATTTATCAGTTTCAGCAGGAAGAAGGAATAATCCGTTAAGTGTGTAATAGCCCTGATCCAGCCAGTAATTTCCTCCCATGCCTTACTCACCTTCATCATCGAGTGAGAGCATGTTGAACTTGAATCCGCTGGGCTCCATGCCGACATATTGATGAACCTTCTCTGTTCCCGCCTCGTGGACGGCGATGGCGTACTGCAGTGGCTTCACGCAGGACTGCAGGCAGAACGGCTGCTTGGTGTCGCCCACTGAGTGCCTGCAGGAAGAACACACAATGTCTAATCGAACCTGCATTAACTAATTATCTGTCCTTGTTTATGTTTCCAATAAACATTAAGCTGGATACTAAGAAGCAACACCTAAGGACTGTACTACGAAGCCGGATTTTCACTTAGCGGGCTAACTTCAGGGAAAACTCTGGGTTTCCGGTCCTACGACACTGGTTCTCTTTTTAGCGGGCTAGATCTCCATGGTAACTTATGCTGAGCGGCTAACCTGGGGGGTATACTACGAATCTAGTTCAACCTATCCTGGATATGTTTTGAGTTATCCGGTTGACTTAATCCAAAACAAAGCCGCTCTCGCTAAACTGTCCTACAACGCTGGCTATCAACTCGTTCGCTCAAGCCAGCCGTGTCCTATCTAGTTAGGTGCGCGTTCACATGAAAGGGTATCTGGAGCATTCGACCAATCACAAACATGGAGAAGCGTACTGACAGCGCAGCGTCATACTTCCTGAATGAAAAGTCAATTATAATATTAGACATATGAAGAAGTTAAACTTTAAACATCCATGACTTAAACACTTTATCCAGGATAAAAGCCACATAGCTGCACCTGCAAGGTGAATACAGCTGGTAAAAGAAGAAGTGTTTGAATGCGTACACCGTACATTAACAGGTTTATGATATCACTGCCCCGTCCAAGACACGAGTGGATCTGACTTTAATTACATTTGACTCGAGTGTTTCGTCAACTTAATGTGTTGCTTAAAATAATACTTATGCATACAGTATGTGACACTGTGAGTGTTGCACAGCCAGATACGGCTCAGCTGACTCAGATAAGGAAATATATGATACATTATGATGTGATATGAATGATAATGGGACACATCGACGTCTGCACTCACAGTGCCGCTGACTGTAGGCTACGTAATGTTACTTTGATCCGGTTACTTACGTTGTGGCAGATATTTAATTAAGCTTTCTTAACATAGCCTAATTGTTAGCAGATTTAGACTTAAACCTTTTGTCTCCTGCAGCAGAAAGGTGAATAATCTTAGCAGTTCAAGTTTAGCCATTCATCACGGCGTTATTTATTATAGGCACACATCTCAAGAGGCTTGAGGACAGAGAGAGAAGGGGCGTGACTTCCAATGGTCTTATACCCCAGGTAGTAGGGCTGTGCGATTATGGCAAAAATCATAATCACGATTATTTGGGTCAATAATTGTTATTACGATTATTTTGACGATTATTCATTGACCATTTATTGAACTTTAAAACAAATAATATTTTACCAATAAACAAGATCAACAAATATGTTGGAGCGCACTTCCAAAACCATACTAAACATATATTATTAATATGATAAATAAAAATAAATTAGACCAAAATAAATGAAATCAAATATGATGCAGTGCACTGTCACAACCTGCTGAAAACTCCTTAACCAACATTTTTGGTAAAACATATTCATTATTCCACTCAGTTAAACGTTGAAGGCTGGCCAACCGTCATGGTCCAGAAGTAATAGGAAATAAATGTTGAACTACAATTTAAGACCAAATAAAAATGTGTTGGCCACCATGGCAAATGCTGGTAGGGCTGCTCATGTCATCTCTTAAAGATTTTTTTGCAAGAAACACCAGCCTGTTTACATGGTCTGGTTTCAGAGATGAGCGCAGGCAGGTGACAATATTGCCACCTGTACTGAAGACCCTCAGCCACGCCCCAACACAGGGGTGACGCCGGCCAATCACAAAGCTTTGATGCGTTCAAGTGCATTATTCTGGCACAGGAAGATTATGTTACAGGTAGGGTAACGATTAAAATGTTTAATCAGATTAATCACAGCTTAAAAATTAATTAATCATGATTAATCACCATTCGAACTATTTTCCAAAATATGCCATTTATTTATGTATATTGTTGTGGGAATGGAAAGAAGGCGGATATATCCATTTAACATACAGTATCTATGTTTATTATAACATTTTCTGCGTGTCAAAATGAAAGAAAACCCACACACCTATCAATCATCAAACCGTGGGGTCTTAATTCATTACGTGTTGATTTCTATCAACGGGGGAGTACTTCAGGAAAGTCGACAGAGGGGGGGGGCGGCGGCGGCTCGTGGAGTACTTCTTGACCACAGTGTGAACGTTGTGATCAGCTGTTTTAGCGCAGTTCTCCAGTGAAGGGGGGGGGAGTCTCCCTCCGCAGCCGGTTGGCGTAGTTTTGGCACAATTCCGTTGTACAGACCGACGTTAACAGCAGCCCTGTCTGTGTACACGGAGACCGACTCTGTCGTCCGGTGATCTAACCGCCTTCTGGAAAAGCTTCACAAGAAGTACGTCGGTACGCAAATGCGCTTTGTGACACAAGTGACGGTACGCATTTCAGATTACACACATAACCTGCGTACCAGTTATGTGCACCCCTGTACTACAGCAAAAGTATTCTCCGTCGGGACTTCCTGCAACAACACCACGCCGTTATCAAAGATGTTCTATTGAGAAGACGATCACTACGTGACAAAAGTTTTCAAAACCGTCGCTACTGAAATCAATCAGTCTGTGCAATTTACTCCGCGCGAGTTGGCAGACTTTATTTTGCTTACTTTAACATCATTTTTCATGGTGGGGCTAAGCCATTTCTTGGTATGGGTGTAGCCTACCCCAGCCATACCCTGGCGCTGCCACTGGTGGCACGTATGGGGCGGGCCATTCTGCACATGGGTTAAATGCGTTAAATATTTTAACGCAATTAATTCAAAAAATTAATTACCGCCGTTAACGCGATAATTTTGACAGCACTAGTTACAGGACATTAACGATAAAACAGAATATTGTTGTTCTATTTTTAGACACATCTCGCGATCGACTGGTTGGGCACCCCTGGGCTAGACCATAGGTCTGTTGTGGTCGCAAAGTAGTCAGCTGAAGCCACATCTCTCTCAACTTCCCCACGGCATTTGTCATATAGCGCAGGCAGCGCAGACCTGCTGAAATAATACCGAGACCGCATCGCGTAACGCTTGTCGAACGTGTTGACAAGTTGCTTAAAGCCCTGGTTGCTAACAGTGCTAACTGGGCACATATCTTTAGCGATGTGAAATGTAATGGCAAAGTACTTGCAAATAGTGGAAATAGTTTTACCCTTCTGTTTAACGAGTTGCTGCTCTTGTTCTGACATCTTCGCTCGCGCTGAACACTCAAAACACATGTCACTCCCACGTGGCCGAGTGGGCTTTTAGGGAGGGGCGAAAGCGCACCCAGCAAAATAATCGTATTTTGTCAATTATGCTGTTTTCATAATCGTCGCAAGCCATAATCGTAATCGCGATTAAAATACGATTAATTGCACAGCCCTACCAGGTAGTGACATCACAATCATGTGGTACAGCCCTAACCAATGAACACAGTTAGTAGTCGCAGCTACTTACATAAACAATATATGGTACACAGTAATACATGGAGTCATACACTATACATGTCTGTATGTTATATCTCAACACTCCCCTTATGAATTATGTGTTTACTGTTTACCTGTTCATATCTAATCAACAAAACAAAAACATGGTACAAATGATTTAAATGTGGGCTTCTTCCACACATTTTACACACCAAACATGATCCCTCCAAATTTCCTCAGCTTCAGTTTGGATACAGGCTTGGTCATCACATCTGCAACCATTTCGTCTGTAGGACAATAAACCAGTGTCATCTTTCCCTGCCTTATGGTGGACCTAATGAAGTGGTACTTAATATCCACGTGTTTACACCTTTGTCTACACACAGGATTTTTAGCAAGGGCTATTGTCCCCTGATTGTCCTCGTTTACAACTGTTTTCTTGTACACCTATGTGTTTATCCCTTCCAGTAGCTGCTCCAAGTAAATACACTCCTGTATTGTTAGAGCTAGAGCCATATACTCAGCTTCACATGTGGAAAGCGCTACTGTAGGCTGTTTCTTGGTTTTCCAAGAGACTAGTGAGTTGTCCTTACCCGTGCTCACACAATACCCTGTCATACTGCGTCTATCCGTTTTATCTGCAGCCCAATCAGCGTCACTATAAGCCTGTAGGCCTAGTTTCTCGCTGCTCTTTCTGAAACAAAGCTGTTTGTCTGCAGTACCCCTGAGATAACGCAAAACGTGTTTTACTGTAACCCAATGTTCATCTGTCGGTTCAGCAAAATATTGTGATAACTTGCTTACCATAGGGCTGGGCGATTTGGCCTAAAAATAAAACCTCGATTTTTTTCTAACTAATGGACGATTTTCGATTTAAACCTCGATTTTTTTCTGAAATGATATGGATCCTCCTGGATGTGGTGAGTTAAGTATGGCGAGTAAAAAGAAGGATAAAACAGATGGTTGGAGTAAAGATGCGAGGACTTGACATTTTATTTTGGGATCATCCACATTTCCAACAAAGGTTCACGGATGAAAAAAATGCCAATACTGAATCTGATGTTAGAAATGTTGACTGCATCTGGTTTCATTTCAATTTCAACATTTCTATTATTTCCAAATGCACCTGCATGGAAAGAAAACCTATTAAATATCACTGTCCAGAATAATTTGGGTTGCATATTTAGTTATGTGAGAAAAATATACATTATACACTTTTGTCAATCATTTCAACAAATCTTATCTCAAAGAAAATTAAAAGAAAGTATAAAGCCTCATATATCTTTGAAAATGTAAAACTGTTTTATGAAATATGTTTTTGTTATGTTCCAATACAAAATATAAAGGCTATAGGTCATCAGTTAAACATTTTAAAAACTAAAATATATATTGTTATATGTTTTTAATATAATAGTAAAATAGAAAAACATGTCCAAAATAAATCAGGTTACAGGATGTTGATTTCAGGAAAGGTAATATTGGGGTTTGTTATAGCTTGCAGGAAGTTAACCATTAGAATAATTGCAATGCATGAATTCCAGGTTAGTCTTGCTGTTGGCATCAAACAAAAAAAAATCACTTCAGACTGGTTTCATCATTTAAAAATATCATGTTGAATGATACAAATACAACAAATAATGATAATGAAATGAATAATAAAAAAATACCCTCAAACAAAATAACATCCCTTTAACTTTCTAGGAAGTTTTCTACAGGTTTTTCGCGAGGAAGACAAGCCTGTCTACTGCCTCTGGCTTGAGGCATGCTCTTTGGCATGTTACAATATTACCCCCCGTACTGAAAACCCTCTCCGAAGGGGCACTTGTGGCAGGAATGGAGAGATATTTCTTGGCCAGATAACTCAGTCTTGGGAAGTTAGCTTCATGTAGCTTCCACCACTGCATGTCTCTGTCGCAGGTGCTGGAATAAGTTGGTTGTGTTCCCATGTTTTGCAGCGATCGTCTTTCTACAGACCTTACACAGAACAGTTGTTTGTTCTATGTCTGACTGCTTGTACCCGAACCACTTCCATACAACTGAACTTACTGAAGTGGTACCTTTTTTTAGGAATGAGTTCTTCTTCGTCTGTGTTCGTGGACATTTTTATGCTACGTCTGTCGTAGTGATGTGTCGGTCGCAAACTATTTAAGTGAACGACGGGAGCCGGCTCTCGCCCGCGAACGAGCCGTTTTTTTTTGCGGAGGGATCGGCATGAAGGCACATTATGCAATGTGCAATGTGCACATTATCCCGCTTATTACATGGCCAAATTCTCAGCAAAGTAACGACATGACTCCCAATATTAATTGAAATGCTTTTATGGATTTAGAAAATGATTTTATTGATTTAAAAAATAGTTTTTTATTGATTTAAATTGACATGCATCCGCTAAGAAAAATAGTGCGTTGTTACTGTTTGAACTAACGTAGCAATGGCAGGAACTGTTTCGATAGTGTTTTTGAGGAGCTTTTTGATTACAGATCCAAAAAAAAAAAATCGCAGTTTTTCGGTTTAGCCATTTCACAAACCGTAGGAAAGTAAAAATGCAATTAATCGTGAAAACCGAAAAAATCGCCCAGCCCTAGCTTACCACGAAACATAGGTCTGGACGTGTACAGGTAGTCAAATAAATTAGGCTGCCAACAGCCTCTCTGTATTTCTTCACATCCACCATTTTAGGTGCATCTTCATCTAACTTTTGGTCACAAGGTGTGTCCCTTACCCTACACTCCTGCATGTCAAAACGTTCCAGTATCTTTTCCACGTATCTCTTTTGTGATACTTTCACACAGCCGTCAGACTGACTGAAATCCATGCCCAGAAAATGATTTAATCTCCCTAAATCCTTCATTTTAAATTTTGTGGAAAGCATGTTTTTCACTTTCTCTAAAATCTTGGTGTTGCTGGCTGCGATGATAAGATCATCGACCCGGATAGCAATTATTACTTTTCCCTCTTTAGACTCCTTGGAGTACACGCAGTGGTCTGCCGGGTTCTGTGTAAAATTGTCATCTGTTAAGCATTCATGCAACATCGTATTCCAATTTCGCCCTGACTGCTTTAGGCCGTAAATTGACTTCTCTAGCTTACAAACTAGCTTTTCTCCCTCTTTTACATAACCCTCAGGTTGTTCCATGTAAATGTCGTGATCAATGGGTGCATGCAGGTAGACCGTCTTTACATCCATCTGGTGTAAAATCAAATCCTCTTGGGCTGCCTTCTGCATTAATACACGTACACTTGTCAGGTTGGCTGTAGGTGAGAACGTCAACCCGTAATCTATCCCCACCCTCTGACTGTATCCTTTGCTACGAACCTAGCTTTGTACTAGGGATGCACGATAATTATCGGTCCGATATTAGGAATTATGACGTCATCCCGATAAACCCGATACCAGTATTAATAGCCCCGATAATATACAATATATTTTTTGGGTAAAAAAAAAGAAAAAATACTGCGGTGTGGGTGGATTGGGATGAGGGGCGCTTGTTTTTCACTCGGCTCCTCCCGTTTTGCCAGTACTGTGGTATTAGTGGTTTAGGAAGAGGGGAGTTCTTCACAAATCCAGCGCTCCCTAACTCATGCCTGGCTGTGACGTAAATGGTGTGCGGCCGTGAAGCCAGGACGGTAAACAAACATGTCGTCGGTGGTATGGGCGTTGGAGCTATGTGCAACTCAAGGCATATGCTCGAACCGGAGCTGCCTGGACGCTGCAATCATGTTGCGCACTATCCGTGCTGAGTGTGCTGACTTTTCGTACAATGTCCCACTGTCTGGCTTCCTGCATAAAGTCAAGTGCTCGGCGCAGTTGTGGCGAAATGTCGCTCCTCTGTTTTCATTTAAACAGCTCCTTATATCCGTTAGCGCAGCTAGCTAGCACCAGATGCTAACAACAACAACAATGCACGTAAGGTCTCTCGCTCGCTCGGGCCACACATACACACACCCTCCCGGTCCTCCAGTCGGTGCCTGCCGGTGAGCGTGGAAGTGTGGTCTGCCACAAGCGGGCGGCAGGAGCGGGGCTGTCAGTATCAGCTTGTAGATGGTATTTTAAACTTGATGCGCTCTGACTACGGGGCGGCCAAGGAAAAAAATACACATGCGTTAATCGCGTTAAAATAATTAGTGGCGTAAAAAAATATGCGTTATCGGTATCGGTCTTGAGAAGCAGGAACTTATCGGTGTCGGTTTCAAAAAAACAATATCGTGCATCCCTACTTTGTACTTGTCGTGTCCGTCAACGTCTCCCTTAACTGAATAGATCCATTTAGCTCCCACTGTTTTCCTGCCCTCGGGCAATTTTGTCAGGGTAAAAGTCTGATTGTCTTCTAGAGACTTAATTTCCTCATCCATCGCTTTTCCCCAGTTTTCTGACTCGGTCGATGTCATGGCCTCTTTAAAGGTCAGAGGTACACCGCAAACTGCTCTGTAACAATAATCTATACTAGTGAGTGTTTTATCATCTACATCACTATCTTCCTGAGTATAATCTCTCAAGTACTCTGGGGGTTTGCGCTCCCTACTGGGATATCTCCCACTGTCTGAGGCATGTGACGCCACCCTAGGGTGCTGTTCGCCATTATCCTCTGGTGCTGACTGTGGAGCGTTAGTTTGTACATCTTTGCTCAGTACACTAGGCTGTGGGGCCTTTACTCCCTCTTCAGTCTTCCTCCGAATCCTGTTCTAACCAGGTTAGAATCCTGTTCTAACCTGTTCTAATCGCTATCACAAGTTGTGCTGGTGATAAACTTTACTAGTCTGTGCTTCTGAACCTTCTCTTTGTCGGGGTAGTAAACTAGATAGGCGGGGCTTCCCTTGTCATGCCCTACAAAACTTCCTTTCTCACACCTAGTATCTAATTTTCCCCTGTCCTGCTGGTACGCATAGCACACTGCTCCAAACTTATGCATCCTAGCTAAGTTACACTTTTTCCCTGTCAGTGCTGAATATGGCGTAGTGCCTGTGTGCTTATTAAAACACCGGTTTCTGTATGTGCTGCTTCCTGAATGGCATAGTGCCACAGGTTTTTAGGCAGATCACTGTCAATAAGCATACATCTGGCCATTTCAAAAAGAGTGCGCCCTTCTCTTTCAGCTGTCCCGTTTTGATGTGGGGAATAAGGACAAGACGTCTCATGTCTGATCTTGTTCTTTCTAAATAGTTTCTGAAACTCCTTACTAGTGAACTCAGTCCCATTATCTGATCTAATGCATTTCACCGTCCCATAGGGAGCTACATCTGCCAGATACTTCTCAGTGGCTTGAACTGCATCACTCTTCGCTTTCAGGAAATAAACAAACACTGCCCCTGTACACACATCTGTAAATGAGTGCATATACTTGAAGCCATTTATGGACTCGTTATTAACTGGACCAGCTAGCTCAGTGTTCACCAACTGTGAGACTGACCGTTGAGCGGCCCAGACCAAGCAAGGAGGCAGAGGCAGAACGTCCAAAAATATAACCCGACGTGGGCATTTATTAAAATCATGTGCACAAAGTTCACAGCCTCAATCCTGCTGTTCTCCTTGCACACATCCTGCAGCCACAAGGATCTCACACACCCTACCAGCCTCTCAACAGACAGGGAAACAGAGCCTAAATACACACACTCTAATCAGCACAACAAGACACAGGTGAGGGGGGAGGAGACAACACAGGACACCAGGTGCACACAATCATCAGCCACAGACAACATATTATTTGCACCCTGATTACTCAACCGCTGTCATCCTTACACCAGCATAACTCCTCTCGGCGCTCTCGCAAACTCCCCTATCTTTCCAGGCGGAGCCGAGGACCCGACCAGCACCTGCCAGACAACATTCCAATAAATACAGTTTAATCAGTTAAAAGATACTACCTCAATAATTAGTATGAATTATGTGCAAATATGTAATGTCAACTGTACTGTGTAATCACGCTAATAAAGTGCAATATTACCCGGCCTGAAGCCGTCAGTCCATAGTGACGAAGTTACCTTTGTCACATTTCCTTCCCCCTCTCCCCAGGAAGCACAGTGTCTTTACAGTCTCGGCTTCGGGATAACCAGTCAGCCACCCGGTTTCAACGCCGCCTCCTCCGCCACCTCCAGCGGGGCCAGTGAAGCCGTTGTCAACCATGTCGTGATGCCACTTATCCGGAAGCTGTTTTGTCCTGTTGTAATGCGTTGGTCTGCCTCTAGCACGACCCAGGTTCTGTCGACTCCTCGTGGGTCCGGGTCCGCCTCCTCGGCCTGCAAACGCTGCTCCTCCTGCTTGTCTCTCGTCTCCTGCTGCTTGTCTCTCGTCTCCTGCTGCCTCAACAGCCGTGGCCCCCTGCTCCGTTCCAGGCATAGCCACCCCCAGCCGCGGTTCCTCTTTGGTCCCTCTTCTTTCCTCTCGTAATTTTCACCTCCTTACTTGGTCAAATCCAACTTCTGACACCAATTGTGAGACTGACCGTTGAGCGGCCCAGACCAAGCAAGGAGGCAGAGGCAGAACGTCCAAAAACATAACCCGACGTGGGCATTTATTAAAATCATGTGCACAAAGTTCACAGCCTCAATCCTGCTGTTCTCCTTGAACACATCTTGCAGCCACAAGGATCTCATACACCCTACCAGCCTTCACCAAACAGGAAACACAGAGCCTAAATACACCCACTCTAATCAGCACAACAAGACACAGGTGAGGGGGGGAGGACACAACACAGGACACCAGGTGCACACAATCCTCAGCCACAGACAACATATTATTTGCACCCTGATTACTCAACCGCTGTCATCCTTACACCAGCATAACTCCTCTCGGCGCTCTCGCAAACTCCCCTATCTTTCCAGGCGGAGCCGAGGACCCGACCAGCACCTGCCAGACAACATTCCAATAAATACGGTTTAATCAGTTAAAAGATACTACCTCAATAATTAGTATGAATTATGTGCAAATATGTAATGTCAACTGTACTGTGTAATCACGCTAATAAAGTGCAATATTACCCGGCCTGAAGCCGTCAGTCCATAGTGACGAAGTTACCTTCGTCACACCAACTCAAGTGGTGTGTTTGCTTTATCGGTCGGATCTCTGTTTCTCGTTTAGGTAAACTTTCCCTCTATGCATACTGAACAATCTTTATCAGGCTTACGCTTTGTACCCTTAATATGCATACCAACAGTTACATCCTGCAGCTTTAACACATCCTCATAATTACAGTGACCCATAATCTCATGCCACGTTTGGATATCATGGCTGACATGACACTTATCTTCAACATCACACTCTGTTTGCAAATAGTACATTTTCTTACATACATAAATGTCAAACTTGGTACCATCCGGTAACATCAGAGCATCTTTACCTTCGTCGAAGAAAACCTTGGCTCCGTTAGCTGTAGCAGACTTCACGGAAAAGAGTTCTTGGGGGTACGATGGGATGTATAGTGCGTTCCTCAGAGTCACTTTACACCGTCGTCCCTCGCTGTCTATCAGACACATCTCTGCTTCTCCTCTGCCGTGCGCCACCGCGAAGGTGCGCCTCCCGTCTGCCAATTCCATGCTGTGTCTCTTCGGCTTGAAGGTGCTGTCAAAAATCTTGAATTTCTTCTTATCGTTGATGATGTGAGACGACGCTCCCGTGTCCACGATCAATCCTTTTCTGTGGGTCTGTAGTTGTTGTCTCTGTAGGCTGGTCTCTTCAGCTCGCACTTTGAGGGTGTAGTCACCTCCTCCCGCAGCTTCTCTGGTACCACCTGGCATGCTCACGCACCGAGCGGCATCACCGCGGTCCTTCTTTGTGCACGCTTTGTCTGTGTGCCCCTTGCTTTTACAAAAGCTACACCAGACTTTCTTTCTGCAGTCATCTTTTCGATGGCCTTTCTCTCCGCATCGCCAACATGTGCCGACGTGTTCTCCGCCGCCATCGGGGATGAATCGTTTGGCGGGCTTTCTCTTTGTTGCTGCTTGGACCCTCAGCACCCTCTCGCTCATCTCGTCTGAGGCTGAATCTTCTGAGGCCTCGAAGTTCCTCAACTTCGCCTTGAACTGTCCCAACGTTACTTCACTGTCACCGTGTGTCACCATTAGAGTGAACGGCTTGTATTTTTCGGGTAATCCCCGCATAACCATCGCCATCATTAGTCCCTCACTCTGTGCTTCTCCCGCGCTCCTGAGTGCCGTAATGATCTGCTCAGCTCGGATAATGTACTCTGTTACCGTCTCATTATCAGCTTTCTTCAGCGCAGTCATGGTTATATACAAGGTGACGATCCTGGGTCTGCCTTTTCCAATATAGTGCTCCCTTAATATTCTGAGACTTTCTCGGCCCTTGTCCTTCGTATCTCTGAATATCCAACCCAGTCTCACGGCATTTCGTGTTCACCAACACGATTTGTAATCTATTGATTTGTGTTCACCAACACGATTTGCCCCTTTTTTTCGTGTTGCACAGCACGATTTTAAAAGCAATGTATTTCTACTGCCTGCAGCACGTCTTTTTCTCCGGTCGGGTCGTGGAAGACCGGAAGCTGTGTGGTTCATAAAAACATGTTCTTACTCAATATCAAGCCACAATTATTGCTTTTATTTTAAAATCGTATAATTTCGGACTTTTGTTGCCGTCTGTGAGGAAAATAAATGGGGCTCAGAGCCTCAGAATACGGAAATCTGTATTTTTAAATCTTTTTTTCCTTCTAATTCGTTATTCTTTTCAAAATAACACACTGTTATTTACTCACCAATAACACACAATTATCCTTGCTTTTATTTATTGGTTTAATTCCATAATCTCTGGCTTTTTTGGCGTCCGTCAGGAACTGAATTTCAAAATAAAAATAACCGGAAACAGACGTAGGCATTTCGAGCGATTACCCAAGATCCTCAGCTATGGTTTTAAGCTCGCTTATTGGATGTTTTAGCCGCAATGCATGCTGGGATTTGGTGTTTATATGATATGAAATCCGGAAAACATTTTAAAAGAATAAAATAATACTTAATTCCGAGCGCTCTTGCTTTTCTCTTTGAAAGTCATCACATAACGGCATTGTAATACACGGTTTGGTTGCATTGTATATTACAGATCTGCCGTAGTTCTTTATTTATAGAGCCCTGATGAGAAGACCTTGAGAAAAACTGAGAAAATGCCGCCGAAACTGAATACTTGACCTGGATCATAAATATATTCAACAATTAAACAACATCTTCAATTTCTCTTCACACAATACGTCTCCTTGCAGTATCAACACTAATTCGGCTGACTTTTACATTTGATCTAATTCACAGATAGGTTATATTTACACCATAACGGTGCACAGCTGATATAAAAGGACTGTAGTTTTTAAAGATATTACTGATTTTCTTTGAATGTAAGAATGTAAATACTGAGTCTGAAATAGTATAGCAATATGCTGTAAAATTATGTGAAAGCATGCATAAAACTACACATCTTCAGATGTTGTACGAAAACACTAATAATACAAAGTTATTATGGCTGTGTATACCTTGTGTGCACCTCCTAGTGGTTAAAGCACGTTATTGAATTATTGTGTTTTATTTGATTAAAAAAATATTAAGAGTACATACTTTCATAGGGGGAAAGTATAAATATAGAATATAAAAAATCAAGAAGATACTATAAGTGATCTCTACAATAAAACAGTTTAGTGCAGAATGTACAAAGTTATTAATAGGAGGAGGTGCAAAACAGAAAAACGAATTAACCTTTATTTTTACATTACATTACATTACATTGCATTTAGCTGACGCTTTTATCCAAAGCGACTTACAATAAGTACATTCGACCAGGAAGACACAACCTTGAAGAAAACAGAATCATATAAGTACATCAGGTTTCATAGAGCCAAACATTTCAAGTGCTACTCAACTGGCTTTAGGTAAGCCAGTCCTTTATTAGTATAAAAGTGCTTCGTTAATAGTTCTAACGCTCGAAGTGGAGTCGAAAGAGATGAGTTTTCAGTTTGCGCCGGAAGATGTGCAAGCTATCTGCCGTCCTGATGTCAATGGGGAGCTCATTCCACCATCTTGGAGCCAGGACAGCAAACCCACGTGTTTTCGCCGATGGGAACTTGGGTCCCCCTCGCAGCGAGGGCGCAACGAGTCGTTTGGCTGATGCAGAGCGTAGTGCACGCGCTGGGGTGTACGGTTTAACCATGTCCTGGATGTACGAAGGGCCAGATCCATTCGCAGCATGGTAAGCAAGTACCAGTGTCTTGAAGTGGATTCTAGCAGTTACCGGAAGCCAGTGAAGGGAGCGGAGGAGCGGTGTGGTGTGGGAGAATTTAGGAAGGTTGAAGACCAGACGAGCCGCTGCATTCTGGATGAGCTGCAGAGGTCGGATGGCACATGCAGGTAGACCAGCCAGGAGGGAGTTGCAGTAGTCTAGGCGTGAGATGACGAGAGCCTGGACCAGAACCTGAGTCGCTTTCTGAGTCAGCTGGGGACGTATCTTCCTGATGTTGTAAAGCGTGTATCTGCAGCAACGGGTTGTAGCAGCGATGTTTGCAGTGAAGGACAGGTTGTTATCTAGGGTCACACCCAGATTCCTTGCAGTCTGAGTCGGGGAAACAACTGAGGTGCCGATGTTGATTGTTAGGTCAAGAGTGGGACAATCTTTTCCCGGGAGGAAGAGCAGCTCAGTCTTGTCAAGGTGGAGTTTGAGGTGGTGAGCAGACATCCACTGAGAGATGTCAGCTAGACAAGCAGAGATGCGTGCAACGACCTGGGTCTCTGAGCGGGGAACGGACAGAATTAATTGGGTGTCATCAGCCAATGGTAAGAAAAACCATGCGGGCTAATGACTGATCCGAGCGAGTTTGTGTACAGGGAGAAGAGGAGGGGACCAAGAACAGAGCCCTGAGGGACCCCCGTAGTTAATTGACAAGGGTCGGACTCAGACCCTCTCCAAGTCACCCTGTAGGTACGGTCTTTCAGGTATGAGGTGAGGAGGGAAAGTGCAGAGCCTGAAACTCCAAGTTTTTGGAGTGTGCGAAGGAGGATCTGATGATTCACCGTGTCGAATGCAGCAGACAGGTCCAATAGGATGATGACAGAGGAGAGGGATGCAGTTTTGGCAGTGTGCAGTTCCTCCGTGACAGCAATGAGAGCAGTTTCTGTGGAGTGACCTGCCTTGAAACCAGACTGGTGCGGATCCAGAAGGTTGTTCTGATTGAGATAACAGGAGAGTTGTTTAAAGACAGCGCGTTCAAGTGATTTAGACAGGAACGGGAGGAGAGAGACAGGCCTGTAGTTTATAACATCAGACGGGTTGAGAGTGGGTTTCTTTAGGAGAGGGTTTACTCTTGCCTCCTTGAGACTGTTTGGAAAGTGACCAGAAGTTAGAGAAGTGTTGATGAAATGGGTGAGAAACGGTAGAATATCAGGAGCGATAGTCTGAAGGAGGTTTGAAGGGATAGGGTCCAGAGGACAGGTGGTAGGGCGGGCAGAGGTAATGAGGGTAATAACCTCACTTGGAGAGAGAGGGGAAAAGGAGGTAAGTGTGTTGGTGGAAGGAGGGTCTGGTGACCCAGCGGTGAGTAAAGGTGAGTCAGAAAAAGAAGAGCGAATATCATCAACCTTTTTTTCAAAGTGGGTAACAAAGTCGCTTGACAGAAGTGAGGAGGGGGGAGGAGCTTTTGGAGGGTCCAAGAGGGTGGAGAAGATGGAAAATAGTTTTTTAGGATTGGAATAGGAAGATTGGATCTTATCTTGAAAGAAAGTGCTTTTTGCCTATTTAAAACATTAAACAGATTAAGGTCTTCTTTTAAATAAGAAAAAAACTTTGGGGGTATCTATCTACAGATAAATATTAAGCCTGACAAAGTACTTAACGTAGTACTTAGATAGCTTGCACATCTTCCGGCGCAAACTGAAAACTCATCTCTTTCGACTCCACTTCGAGCGTTAGAACTATTAACGAAGCACTTTTATACTAATAAAGGACTGGCTTACCTAAAGCCAGTTGAGTAGCACTTGAAATGTTTGGCTCTATGAAACCTGATGTACTTATATGATTCTGTTTTCTTCAAGGTTGTGTCTTCCTGGTCGAATGTACTTATTGTAAGTCGCTTTGGATAAAAGCGTCAGCTAAATGCAATGTAATGTAATGTAATTAACGTCTAATATATTGCTTTCCTGCAATGTTAACTATGTTGAAGCACTTCTTTTAACTGATATTATACATATGAATTATACTCTTATGTATGTAGATAGAATAAGAAATGTGCAGAATATGACAGTTTAATGGTGGAGGTACACACATATTGATAGATGTCTTGTAATGCACTGTTGAGGAACCTGTGACCCAAGTGTTTCATTCATTGCATAATTACACGGAAGTTGTGTATATGATGTCAATAAACCTTTGAAAATCTTGAAAGGGATGTGCAAAATAGCCATAATATACAGTCTTTAATGAACTATTAGTAGAGAATAACGAGTAATGAATATACTTTATTACTCGTTTCCATTCATGTCAATTGCAGATACATGTTTAGTCTTCTCAAGCACCAACTATCAAATATCTCTCCTGATTGTTGGCACTTGACAATCACCTTACCTGAATTTTACTCAGGTGTAACTAAAGTCTGATTTAAGGGTTGTTTATATTTCACATAATTAATCAGAATCTGCAAAGTAACTCAAATAAATGCAGTGGAGTAAAAATACCAGGTTAACCTCTGAATTGTAGTGGAGTAGAATTACAAAGTAACAATGAGCTGTCATGTGTGTATTAATGCTGCGCATTATGGACACAAGCGATTTTCACCCATTTATTAATTATATGTTTTACATTTGATAACACCAATGTGTTTAATACTGGCAACTTCTAATTGTGGGAAAAACGAAAACGTTCAGTAGAGACGTCCCATAGAACATTTTGCGAAACACAATAGCCAGCATGTGTAGTTCTGGGGGGGCGTTTGATTCCAGTTTTGGATAGTCTGGCGTGGTTTCATTCCATTTCACACAGTTGTTTGACGCTCTGCGGGGACTGTAGTCCTAAACGATAGCTGGGGATTATGGGTAGTGTAGTGTCTTCGGCCATCCTAAACTCAGAAATGTTGACAATCGCAATGATGCTCGAAATGTCCCTTATAGGCCTACGTCTGTTTCCGGTTATTTTTATTTTGAAATTCAGTTCCTGACGGACGCCAAAAAAGCCAGAGATTATGGAATTAAACCAATAAATAAAAGCAAGGATAATTGTGTGTTATTGGTGAGTAAATAACAGTGTGTTATTTTGAAAAGAATAACAAATTAGAAGGAAAAAAAAGATTAAAAAAATACAGATTTCAGTATTCTGAGGCTCTGAGCCCCATTTATTTTCCTCACAGACGGCAACAAAAGTCCGAAATTATACGATTTCAAATAAAAGCAATAACTGTGGCTTGATATTGAGTAAGAACATGTTTTTATGAACCACACAGCTTCCGGTCTTCCTCGACCCGACCGGAGAAAAAGACGTGCTGCAGGCAGTAGAAATACATTGCTTTTAAAATCGTGCTGTGCAACACGAAAAAAAAGGGGCAAATCGTGTTGGTGAACACGAATCAATAGATTAAAAATCGTGTTGGTGAACACGAAATGCCGTGAGACTGGGTTGGAATATCAGGCCTAAACTGGTATTGTCAAGTAGCGGCGCTAACTCACAATAGGCGTCAGCATTGAGCTTGTCGTCTTGAGCCCTCAGTGCCGCGGTCAGCTCTCCAGCGGGTGCTCGAAGGATGGTCTCCTTCAATCCCACTCCGTGCATGCAACACAGCATCCTCTCTTCCCAGAGCTCATACTCTTCTGCTTTCCCGTCAAACGTGGGCCACTTGCTCTTCCTCGTGGTTCTATTCGCCATGGCTTTTTCGTTTGTAGCTTAGCTTAGGTCCTCGTTAGCTTAGCTTTAGCTTCCCTCGGTTCTCCCGATGCTAAACTAGCTTAACACGTGGCTAACTAGCTACTCCTATGCTAACCGTGCTAACAGGCAATCTTCTCGCCTTGTTATCGCACGTGCGCTTCGAACTGTAGAATAATTCATCGCATCTGGGCCCATAACCTGTTAGCAGATTTAGACTTAAACCTTTTGTCTCCTGCAGCAGAAAGGTGAATAATCTTAGCAGTTCAAGTTTAGCCATTCATCACGACGTTATTTATTATAGGCACACATGTCAAGAGGTTTGAGGACAGAGAGAGAAGGGGCGTGACTTCCAACGGTCTTATACCCCAGGTAGTGACATCGCAATCATGTGGTACAGCCCTAACCAATGAACACAGTTAGTAGTCGCAGCTACTTACATAAACAATAATATATGGTACACAGTAATACATGGAGTCATACACTATACATGTCTGTATGTTATATCTCAACACTAATAGTATAATAGTTATAATAGTCAGATTGCTCTGAAGATGGGAGGTGATGTTCTATTCATTTTCACGTTCACACAGTCGGTGATTTTGGCCGGCCGTCTTTCCTGCAACCGCAGTTTAAACTGTATTTCCTCCGCACACTGAGCTCTGATTGGTCAGCAGGCGTGGTGCTTTCGCTGAGTTGATCTCTTATCCTGGAACCTATCCTGCTTCGGAGCACAGACTAGGTTCCAGGATAAGTCACCATGGAGATCTAGCCCACTAAAAAGTGAACCAGCTTCGTAGTACCGGAAATCCTAGAAGTTATCTTGCTAAACGAAAATCTTGCTTCGTAGTATACCCCCCTGGTCCGGAGCAGGTTAGGTTGCAGGCTAATGCCCCTTTCACACCAGCGCTTTTTCAGCTCCAGCTCGGAGCTGGAGCCTGAAAAGCGCCGGTTTTTCCTGTTCATACCGCAGCGGCACCGGCTCTTAGTTCCGGAATCGGGTTCACTTCCAGCTCCAAAAAATTGTCGGTCTAGAGGCAAGAGCTTCGGAGCTAAGAGGTGGCGTCGCTTACGTCGAGGCGTGCAGGAAACTAAACCCACCTCCCCTGAACATGGGTCGACTGTCATGCCTGCCTACAAGCAGTAGTGCTTATAAACACACTTTATAAAGTCAGGCAACACTAACCAGGCTTCGTGTGATTCTGTTTATTTGTACCTTACTTTGACCATCCGTTCACTGTTATTGATCATTGTGGAGAGAGGCAGACGTGTTGTTTTGTATTGTAGCAGCTATCGGATGGAATCAATACATGGGCTGCACAGGTTGTCGTGTCCGACTATCACAAGTAGAATCATAATAAAAATACGCCGGTAAAATGTGCCTGTAGAAAACGGTTTATGCCACAATAGGATAGCAATAGCAAGTAGTCAGTTTAGCTTCGGTTGCTATGCTAGCATCACCAATTGTATACCAGAGAAACTTTCATAATAGCGTTGTGATACCAAACAGCGTCAATTCAGACTGACACACATTCACTTAGGCTAAGGGGAACTGGGGATATGTATCAGCTGCTTGTGTGAGTCGGACAGTGAATACTTTAGAGCGGCCGCTGCAGTGTGAGCTAACCGGGAGCTAACGGAGGAGAATAAACTCCCGTGGAAGAGCAGCCAACACTGCAGCGGTCGGTAAATGCTGCAGAAACACATTAATAAACAATGAACCACGGCACTCTGGAGCAAAGTATAAGGTTGGAGAAGTCGTTATTCAATTTAATCTGGCTTCGTGTGATTAAAAGCAACACGATCATCGACCCGACGCAGTTCCCCGTTGTTGTTGTTGTTGTTGTTGTTGTTGTTGTTGTTGTGAGCGCCGTAATGCCGTTGGGGAGCAAATCAGCGATGTAAACGGTGACATAATGACGCAGCAGCAGCAGCACCAGTCGGGTGCTGGTGGTGTGAACAGAGCGGGAGCAGAAAAGGGAAACCGGAGCTGAACCAGAAAAGCTCTAACTCGGAGCTAGAAAGGGAAAAGCGCTGGTGTGCAAGCCGCATAAGAGATCAACTCAGTGAAACACCGCCTGCTGACCAATCAGAGCTCCGTGTGCGGAGTTTAAAGCGATCAAGTCATTTTTTATCCGGGATAAAGTGTTTAAGTCATGGATGTTTAAAGTGTAACGTCTTCATATTTGTCTAATATTATGGTTCACTTTTCATTCAGGAAGTATGAAGCTGCGCTGTCAGTGCGCTTCTCCATGTTTGTGATTGGTCAAATGTTGCTAACCCCGCCCCTTTTATGTGAACATGCACCTAACTAGATAGGACACGGCTGACTTGAGCGATCCACTTGATAACCCGCGTCGTAGGACCGTTTAGCGAGAGCGCGTATGTTTTGGATTAGGCCAACCGGCTAACTCAAACATATCCAGGTTATGTTGAACCGGCTTCGTAGTACAGGCCTCTGCTGCTGTTAGAGAGTTCGTTGTCTTACTCATGGGCATATTTTTTTCCTATTAATTCAATGGTACAAAAAAGGACACACTACTTAAAGGGGCCATATGATGCTCATTTTCAGGTTTCACTGCTGTGACATGTTTACATGCTTTAATGTTCAAAATAGTATTTATTATTTTCATACTGCCTGTGCTGCACCTCTTTTCACCGTCTGTCTGAAACCAGAGCCCAGTCTGCTCTGATTGGTTAGCTGGCTGGCTCTGTTGTGATTTGTCAACCACTTTGAGATGTACAACACTCCCAAAAACCACTGAGTTATAAGACTGTTTTAGTCAAGTACAAATCCATAACTCTTACCTCTGGCCATCCACTGTACACAGAGACACACCCCACAGATCTGGACTAAACTTGGCCAGCTGGGGGATGTAGTTTGCGACCTAAAACCACAAAACACAAGAGGAACACAAAAACAGTTAAATTACAGTTTAAGGTACAGAACAAGGTCTCAAAACGATCAAGCACTGAGCAGAAGAGGATGCGTTATTTGATAGAAAATGATTTTGTTCGTGCAGGAATTCAGTGAAACGGGACATGATCAGGATTCCTACAGTATGACTTATTCTGTCACATACAGTCATTTCATACATCTTCAGTAATACTTTGAATTCTTAAACAATTGTGAGAATGCAGTGTAAATGTGCTGTAGATTATGTTAAGTAGGAATACAAATCATTATCCATGTGTGTGCAAGGCTTTAATAAAATACGCTATGTTTCTTTACTCTTAGAAACAAAATAACAAAAGCATACCTTCCCATCAATTTGAGTTTCCACCGCGTTGTAGATTTCATTTATTTTTTGTGCAAAAACATCAAACTCAGGAATGATGAATTTCTTTCTGAAGGCCTGGATCAGCAGGACGATGTTTCCACTGACACACCTGAGAGAGAAACAACATAAGTCAGAGGCACTCAGGAGTACCTTTGTTGAGTTTGAGTGTGTGTGTGTGTGTGTGTGTGTGTGTGTGTGTGTGTGTGTGTGTGTGTGTGTGTGTGTGTGTGTGTGTGTGTGTGTGTGTGTGTGTGTGTGTGTGTGTGTGTGTGTGCATTCACGGCTGTTAGGGGAAGCAGCTGCCAGCTATCGGTCTAAGCTACAGGCTTTTGCTTTGATCAACATGACAGTGATTAAACCTGACATCTCCTGACACTAATTACTAAACACTTACTTTCACACATCGGTTTTACATAATCAAGTTAAGGGAATACTTCACTATATACATGTAGTACAACATTGGCCTATCTATGCACATGTTAGAATGACGTGATTACATGCATGTTTAATGACTTGTTCTGGCAAGATACTGTATATCCTGTTTGCAATGCCTTTTTTACATGCTGCTGCAATTATCCCAATTAGGGATCAATAGTGTATCTAATCTGATCTATTCTAATCACTAGGGAGAGGTAGTAGTTCAGACTTTCTCCACATTCTTCTTGAACCTGTCATACATAGCTTTTAATTAGCAATGTAAAGTATGTGTAGGGGACAAGGGGAGAACACAGAAAGACAAAGGCAGAGACATGCAGCAGGTCACATACACCAAATGCTTCATTAGAATGGTATGTTTTGGAAGGGCGGACTAAAAATAGTTTGGGCTCGTGTCTGCAGCGGGTAGCGAATGGAAAACAAAACACCAAAGATATTCAGGGACAAGATACAAGTCCATATTGAGGTGTTGAGTAGAAGAGAAACAGTCCCGGAAACAGACGACACAGTGAAGAACTTTGGAAAGTAGTTAACTGCTCTATTTCTTGTCAGCAATGTGATTTCATCAAAACAAAGTGTGTAAAATAAAATGGGAATTTTTTTAAAGAAAAACACAGTCTTTATTGTGAGCTTTGTCTATCCTCTGCATTGATGAAGTATCATTTGTAACTGTCAGTATGTCAGAGCTCTACTGCATTGGATGGGTAGAGCCAGTAAAATATCAGTAAAACTTTATTATGTTGCGTGATGAATTACTCCTTTGAATCAGCAGCTACAAATTAAGTTTCCTGCTGCTGCAACAAGTTGTTGTCTTGTCTCACCTGTGGAAAAGTTCTCTGTCCATCATCACCTCACCAACAGAGTCGTTCACAGCATGTCGAATTCTCTCCATGCAGTCCTTTAGACGAGGATCTGACGGGTGGAGGCCGGTTTTCTTCAGGGCCTGCAAACAACAGTGGACCATGACATTATAATGAGAGACAGACAGACAAGTGCTTAAATAGTTGGTGTTTTATTAGCTACTTACCGTGGTAAAGTGTGTAATGGGGACTTGTTCTTTTCCGTCTGTGATGGTGTAGAAAAGCATGTCTTCCACTCCAGAGCTGGGGGACTTTGAAGAGCCATTCCTGATAAAGCGAAGATAAAAGTCTCAAAAAAGAATAAAGCAAGCATTCTTTATTACAGTCTTATATACAGAAGACATAGCTACAATTATAATTTGTTTAAAAATCCTTAGGAAAAAAACAACTCGGTCATTCAATCATGCAAAATAATCTACAATTAAACCGCTAATATGGCCTACACAAGAAGCAATATACGCTTTACATACATGTTCGGATAAGTTACTATGACATGGTTTTGTTTGGGGGTTTTTTGGACAGTGAAAGTTTTGAAACTCCAACATCAAAGTGCTGATTGCATCATTTATAGCTGCCACATGCTGATAACTGACACTATCTATAATGAACACCACATGAAGTAGCAGTTACTAGGCCTATACATATATTTGTCTTCATAGAAAAATATAATAAGAGGCAACTTATATTACAATGTGGCTAAGCCCGTAAAATTGCCCAGCAGCAACTCCTGTGATGACACCGAGCTGTTTTTATCACACTGAGACACTTACATGTTGAGTTGGAAATTGTCCAAGTGTGTCGGCGTTGGTCGCTGGGACGATGTTGTTGTTTTTGTGCTCAGACAGCATGCTGGCTGGATGATGAAGAGCTTCCTCGCAACGTCTGACTGTTTGGCGATCTGCTGGACAGAGTTGGACAGACGCAGGGCTCTCAGGCAGAGCATGGCTGCTCACAAACCCGCTCTGACAGCCTAATTTACGGGGAAGATCACAGCAAACACCGCTGCTTGGTTCAGTGAAGAGCTGCTATCCTGCGGCTCCTGCGATGTCACTGACAGACAGAAGTTCTGCTGCCTTCAGGTGTCGTAGGGAATTGTATCCTTTCTACTCCTGAACTCTTTTTTACGATAGACCACGGCGTGTATTAAATTCAGAGGTGGAAAGTAACTTTAGCTCAAGTACTTTACTTAATACAATTCAACTTGTATTGAGTAACTTTTCTCATAACTTTCTTTGCAGGTTAATAAAAATAACAAGACATACTGTTGTCTTAAGGAACGCTAACTCGTAGTCTATTTATAGAAGGCATAAATGTCTTCTATTACTGGTCTTCTATTACTGGTTACGGAGTAAGTTAAAGTCATGCAATAACAATTCGAATTAAAAGTATTTGAATAATACCACTGGAAATATACTCCCAAAAAACGTTATATTATTCAATGAAGATAATAAGATTATTTATTCATTGGTATCACTTTAATCTGGCTACGGGCAAAAATGTTTTTGATATATATATCAAAAACATTTTTGCCCGTAACCACTATATTACTATTATATAATATAATAGTTTTTGATATATATATCAAAAACATTTTTGCCCGTAACCACTATATTACTATTATATAATATAATATTACTATTATATAATATAATAGTAATATAGTGGTTACGGGCAAAAATGTTTTTGATATATATGGTATAATATAATTTATATTATACCAATATACTCCCAAAAAACGTTATATTATTCAATGAAGATAATAAGATTATTTATTCATTGGTATCACTTTAATGTGGTTACATTTATACACTTGAATATACATGAAATATCTCTGCAACACGTAATAATCATAACACTTAAGTTAATAGTACACATTCGTCATTAGTGTCCAAACATACTCCATAAAGTCAGGAGAGAATTCTTTCGTTTACGAACGGCACTTGAATGCAGCAGAGGGTCTATGTCTTGACCTAAATTCAGGCACGCTGTCATTTGAGTTGACTGACAGCTACAGTAGCCAATCAGGGGCTAGAAATGTGTATCGCGAGCAGAGGACTGCTATTAAAACGTTATGGGTGTCAGTCAGGATACAAGTTATGTGTGACCACATAATTGAGTATCAGGAATAAAATAGTCTACAATATTAAAGTAGAAAGTAGTACAACTTTTTTTTCTTTTATAATTTTCCCAAGAAAGCTGTAGGCCTAGTTAGTACAGTTGGTTTCATGAAATGACGTAAAACCAGTCCCTAACTACTATATTCAGGCATTCCAGTGAAAGAAAGCCTTTGACCTGTTGTGCAACGACACATGGTCAGCCAACAGGCCTCTCACTTTATTATTACATTCACCAACAGCTGAACCTGTTTAGGACATTCCTCCAATGGCTTAACTGATACCTAACTCAACTGATAGCCTTAAGAACTGTGTGCAAGAAGCACGTTATAAAGATTAATACAAGTGAAAGTTCACTTTTTTTTCAGCGACAGACACTTAATACTAGTATAGCCTACTGCTTAGAGAATATGAGATAGTGACCAGAAAACACTTACTTAGCACTTTTAAAGCAACAAAATCAGGGATGTAATAACACCAGAGTATACCGTCATGTTGATTTAAAATGTACTTTTAGATTTTGAATGTATTAAAAGCATTCAAGCCTCAGGGCGATAGAGTGTTTGTCCACCCAGAGTGGAGCAACAACAATTACAAGAATGAAAATAACAAACAGTTATATGCTAGTGCATTGATACAAATACATTCAACAAGGCTATTCAGAAATCATTGTGATGTACATTGGTGTGTGTAAATCATAACACTTTTTGCCATTTATTTTATTTGTGTCCAAGTTAAACAGATCTTAGCATTCAGAGAGTTAATTGATAATAAAATCCTGTTGAATTTAGTCTCTGATGTTGCAGCATTCATATCAAGGAACATAAATAACAGCTTCAAAAGGCACAGCATAGCATTTACAAAGAAAATGAATTAAACAGTAAAATATACATTACAGTTTCATTCTTTTATCTCTTGTCTAAATGTCTTAAGGAAACAAACCTTTACATGGCAGATTATGCACATATAAATTAATAACAGCAATAGAGTAATGCATGGACAATGTAGATAAGGAATATGGGTATTTTGAATGGCAAGATGTTAATGAATTGATATCAACCTCTGCACTGCATTAAAATGACATACAATGACATATAAAGGCTGATAACTTTGAACAAGTTTCTTCCAAGGCATCATGATTTACACGCTCTTTGACGGGCGGGGCAGCACCAGCCTCAGCCCGATGTCGACCACACAGCTGGGCATGTAGGAGAGGGGGATCCAGAGCAGCTTGGCGTCCCAGCCCGGGCTGTACCTGGTGCGAGGGTAGGCCGCCGTCAGAGCATGCTCCATGCAGCCGGTCACCTTGGAGAGGTCAGTGTCGCAGACTGCATTCATGATAAAACGCTGGACCTTGATGTCTAAAAAAATTAAAAGATAATTTGTGCATGAAACATGAAGTGCATTTTTCTTTGCTTCACCTCAAAATGCGTGTATTTCATATTCAGTGAGATTCATGATACTAAATACTATAAAGTATACACTGCACTGTACTGTACTGTATACATGTATTTATTGTTAAAGGGTATATTAAATGGAATGTTTGTGTTGCCTTCAAGCACAGCAAAGCAGCTTGTGTTTATGAAATCAATTCAATGTGCTTTTAATATGGGAATATGGCAGCCATTACTAAAAAGTTGACGCATTTATGGGAAATTCGTAAATAATCCAATTTCAGTGTGACTTTAGGATAGAGATTGTAAAAATTATGTCTTTTATTTAACCCATAAAACAGATACATATTTGTGTATGTCCGATTTCCAGTGAACCTCATAGTGATGCTCCCTCCTCATGGTTTGCATGATGAGTGTGAATAAAGACAACCAGTCTTTTCTTACATTTATCAAGGTACTTGTCTCCATAGCTGGCTTGGACTTCAGGGGTGAGCTGGTTCCACAGGCGGTGCAGCTCCCTCTCCAGGGGGTCCAGGCTCGTCACCGCAGTCTTGAAAAATCCTGGCTCAATGATGCACACATTGATTCCAAAGTAGTTTATATCTCTCCTGAAAACAGAAATGTTACATAGAATACCATCGTACATTCAATCTCTAAAGAAGTAATCATTAAACTGATGAAATAATCCTTATTTGGAAGCGTTATTGTTAACTGAATCATTTGTTTATAGTGAAAAACGTTTGCTTAAACATGACATGTGATTATTAATGTGAAATGTACATTGGCTGAAAGAGTGTAAAGCCTGTGAGAATCTTTCTTCCTACAGATACATACTCTTGGCACTTGATGGAAGCATTGTCTCTCTGTTGTACAACAATACATTTTAGCTTCAATTACCAGTCTGGGTATTTATTGTGTTATATTGTGAAGTCCTGAGTGTTTCAAGTATTGGATCCACGACCCCTTCGACAGTAAAGTTTTTATATAAAAAATAGGCTTAGCCGCTTGAGTGTAAGAAATGAAAACACAATAGCAAATCTGGTAGATAAACACAGTAATCTTGTCTGGTCTCATGAGCCAATACTTGTCTGTCTGGCATATGCTGAGGCAATTTTGTTTTGTGTGTAATCTGTTAGAGGGATTGTGCTTTATTGCTGATAACATCTGTTATTGTTTGTCTTTTATTTAATAGAAAATGTTTCATAAAAACACTGTCTGAAAACCAAATCTCCCCCATGGAACAATGACAATATGAAGATTACGGCTCGAACTAGTATTTTATTATGATTACAATACAGGTCTTTGTGAAAGTGACAGAAAAAGGGAATATTGAGGATTTGTGGGGAGTTTGTGTTTCTCTCAGTCGATAACAATAAAGACGTAATGGCACAACATCGTTTCTTTTGGTTTAATAACGTGCCAGGGTGTGCTTTTATTCGATGAGGTTGTGTAAGGCTTACCTGAGGCAGTCAGAGAAAGACTCCACTGCAAATTTGGAGATGCAGTATCCACCACCGTTTGCAGCCACCCTACCCAGAACCGATGCTATGTTTACAATGCGGCCCCGAGCCTTTTTGATGAGGGGCAGGAAGGTCATCGTCATGGCAATCGTTCCATTCATGTTGACCTTCAATGTGCTGTGGAAATCCTCCACTCTCATCCACTCTGTAGGACCCATGGGTAACGAGCGTCCGGCATTGTTGACAATTCCCCAAAGTCCTACAAACAAGGAGATAAAAGGTGGAAGAACATATTTTGGTTACAGATCTACCTTGTCACTAACCCAGGTCATGTATTTCCTTAATGCAGCATCAGCTCTTACCCTTATCCCCAACCTCCTTCTTGGTCCACTCCATGGCTTCTTCGATGCTGTCCTGACTGGCCACATCTAGCAGGACAGTCTTCAAATAAGGCCCCGTCGCCCTCTTCAGGTCATCAGCTCCCTTTTCTGTGAGGCAGCCGGCCAACACGTGGAAACCTCTACGATCGAGCTTCTTACACAGCAGGTTACCAAACCCAGAGTCGCAGCCGGTCACAAACACATACTTGTCCGTAAGTTCCTCGATCTCCAGGCTGTCTCTGTACAGCCACACGATAAACCACAAAACCACGAAGGTAGCACCGATGTACGACCAAGCATTTTCCCTGGAAGAGAACAACAGAAAAGAGAGGAAGGGATTTAACTTTGAGAAAATACTGTTTAGATGTAGCTCTGAGGTTATAAGGTTTGGCTACAGCTGCCAAGAATGTAGCGTAGCATTAGTAATTCTTACCCTAAAAGGTCGTAGACAAACTGCATGTCCATGCTGCTTCAAGGATAAGAGGAGGATTTTTGGTATCCTTGCTGAAAAATCATAAATAATAGGTTTTGACATCCAAGCTTTCAGGAGTGGAATGGAAGGCAGATACACCTACTTATTTCAGGATTTCTCACAACCAAATCCCTACTCGATTTCATAATATTTTGGGTTTATCGAACCTTTTTTTAAACGATGGGGTACAAGGGATTTGTTCACACAGGGCCTTAGAAGAGGGGCTTGCGATACAGAACTGCTCTGGGCACATGAGAAATCTTTGGATATTACTCTCATGGAAGAAAGAAGGCATTTGTGAGGGAGGGGGACCCGAGGAGGGAGGGGTACATTGTTTTGAAGCATAAATGTAATGCCCGTGACGAAGCTGCTTAAGCTGCTCATTGCTGAAAACCAATTCGTTTTCTGGCTTATTAGAAAAGAAAAAAAGGAAAAAATATACTTCTGTGCGTTGTGTTATCCATAATTTCCAAATTTGCTGTAGTTTAAAAAAATATTTCATTAACTATACTGTTTCTGTTGGCATGAGAACATGTATTAAATCATAATTGGCCCTGTAAAATTACAAATCAGGTTAAGGAAGGTTGCATTTAGTTTCACAACACTAGTATTATAGCCACAATATACCAGAATACTTCAGATATTCATATAAAGTATGTCAGCTACATTTAATCCGGTAAATCTACCCAACGTCAATTATGCTGTTAGCCTTTATACATGTAAAGTAATTGATTAATTAACTAAATGACACAGTGATATACTCGCACAGGAAATTGTGATCATTACCAACATTACAGAGTATAATCAGTAGAAAAAATGTATCAGAGCAACTCAGAAAGAGGAAGTACTTGAATTACAAATTCAATGGTGAAATCATTAATAATTATAATAAACTTCCTACCTTTTCCCTCTTTTAGATGTGATGGATCTCCACGAGTTATCCGTCCGCTTCCCTTTCCCTTTCAGGTTATTCTTCTGTCTTAACTCAGAGAGGCTGGTCACAGAGGGACTTTATCCCTTTAGTTTATCCCTTAAAACATGTCCGCAATTGGTAATCCCCAATCCATAACAACTTGGTTTGTGCGTGTGTGTATTTAAGTACAAAAAAAGTCGTGGGAATTACAGACTACAGAGAACTTTCTGTACACAATGTGAACTTGGATATCAAATAATTTATTTCCTTTTTTAGCTAGTCCCACTTCTCAAAGTGCATTATCTTCTTTAAAATAACTTCAAGAGTTCAACATGAAATCTTACCCGTTTTTATAGTGGTTTCCGGTGTAAGTACTTTATGTTCTAAGAGTGTTAAATAAAACTTGGACTAATCCCACATTTTAAAGCCTTTGCACCAGCTTTGCACACACAAAAACACGTGTAAAACGTAATTGGCTCATTCAGTTCACTGCCCTATAATTTACATCGAACAATGTATGCACTGTACTTGGTGCCTTTGCACTGTATTGTGGCAAATCACAAAACCTTGAACAAAAAGAAAAAGTGTGATGTAGCATTGTGAATGTGTATGACCAATTGATACACAATCTCACACTCCATTAACAACTACTTTACACTAAAACAAGCACAATTTGTTGCCATGTGATGGAAAAGTGTGTTCGGATCTATATTTTGACCATAACCCTAAGGCGCAGTGAGTTGAAAGTACATTTGATTACCAAACGCCTGAAATTACATGACTGAACTCCACAGCCCCATTTCATAGTGACACATTGCATACAACATTTGTCCAATTATCTTTCCCCTTTACCAGTAGTTTTCTTGCAGAACATTGTCGACAAATTGTAAAACTTTGTATGTCAAATGTTGTTGCTGTACTTTGACATTTGGCTTTAAGTCTTCTGATTTTGTAATGATCATCATTAAACCATGAGTATATTTTGACTCCCAAAGTGTTCAAATCTAACTCTTTATTTGGAGTTTATATTTTACACTTTTGACAGTGTTCAGAGAACACCAAACTCTTGGACCTATATACACCACGAGACTGGTGTTAAATGTACTCTTATAGAGTACAATGTACACTGTGGTTTTTGTTGTGCATAGACAAACTACAATCCTTGACCCAGAAGTCAGTCTAGTTAGTTAACTCTAGTTAACTTTCAATAGTTTAATGACCACTACCACCGTTTGTGGGTATGAACATCCTCACAATCGGATCCATGTTAAGGCAGCTCGAATATCCCTTTTCAAATTAGGTTCTTTATGCTTTGTATTCATGTAGTATTCCCATATTACTTTGTATGTATACATTCACTTTAGTGGTGGATATATTTTAAATGGTTTCAAAAGAAAACACACCAGTGCATTTTATTACTTTATTACAAATAATAGTCATCCTCTGAACGGTAACTTAAGTCAAAGTTAAGTTGTCTGACAAAAAGTGATGTTATCATACATAGACATACTATATTACAAAAGCATAGACGTACATAATTAAGTTAACAGGTGCTGAAGATAAGCCTTCCAGTTAAAGATATTACAGACAAGCAGACAGGTGGCAAAGTCATCATCAGCGTGGGCCCATTCCGGTGAGCATGCATCGAGCGAAGTCATCGCTGCTTGCATCTTTGCTGGAAGGAGTCAGTTGGGTTTTCAGTTTCACTCCAGCGTGTTTAGTTCCAGCTATCAATGTCCCTCCATGAAGTTTATGAGAAGGCAGACTGAAGCTGACCCTTGTGAACGTACTCCAGAGCTGTGGCGATGGTCCTCATGTCCATCTCTATACTGCGGGCCCAATTCTCCACATCCCCAATTTCCTGTTTAAAAGAGAGAATAGAGACAGAATTAGTATCACCGCTGTGTACATCCAGAAGAAACAGGCTTGAAACAACTTCAGGCACCTGTTCACCATGTCTCCCCTGGAAAGATGGTGTAACTGGATAACATCAGAGGAAGTGGAAACTCATTTATGAATTGCTTTTACCATCTGTCCAATCCGCTCAGATCTATGGCCTGTGTAGAGGTCCTTTGAAGAAACTAATCTGCTTTTAGTTTTGATTAGAAACGCCTCTATTAGTCAACTGATCAATTAGATGATTGAAGAATAAACTATTTGGACGAATGATTAGTAAGTCAAATTAAGAAATGGCAGTAAATGCAGTTTTCAGTCTCTTAAATAAGGAAATGTTATGCTTTTCAGTTTAATAACATACAGTATTAAACTCAAGATCCTTTTGCACTGAAAATATAAAGGGTATACATATTTAAGTTAATCGTTGGAGTTTGAGAAAGTGGGATGGGCCTTTCTCACTGTTTCCTGAAATTGTATAGATCAAGCGATACATTGATTAATTAATAATGAAAATAATTGTTAGTTGCAGCCCTGGATTTGATGAGTACATTTTTTCAAATGTATTTGAGGTGCAAAGATGATTATAATAGTAGATATGATTGAATATGCATTAACCAATACTCATAATAAGTCAAAAATGTAACTTAAATGAATGTGATACTGATTGCAAGAGCTGCTATTAGATATATGCTATGGCAACTTAGCAAAAAGGAATACAAAGTAAGAGCATTTATTGATTTTACAGCATTAGACTTAAGAAATGTACATTTATACAAAAATGATACTGTATTAATGGTGGCAGATTACATATAGGCAGATTACATAACAGAAAACCCCCGTTTTTGGATGAACTTCTTGCCAAGTGTGTCCTACCTTAAGGGCCTGATTGAAACCCTCCACCATACTGATCCACTGAGCCGTTTGTTTGGAGAACTGGCTCGCCTGCACCTGGAGAGTCTTCACCTCATGGTCGAGCTTACGCTGGTTTACATAAGCCTGGGCAACTCTAGAAAACAGAAAACAACAATAAGAAGCTCTACATTGCTACTAGAACATGAAAATAAAGCATCATGTATTAATATTAATGCTGTCAAAATTATCGCGTTAACGGCGGTAATTAATTTTTTGAATTAATTGCGTTAAAATGTTTAACGCATGTGCAGAATGGCCCGCCCCATACATCCCACCAGTGGCAGCGCCAGGGTATGGATGGGGTAGGCAACACCCATACCAAGAAATGGCTTAGTCCCACCTTGAAAAATGATGTTAAAGTAAGCAAAATAAAGTCTGCCAACTCACGCGGAGTAAATTGCACAGACAGCAGTTAGTACGATTGATTTCAGTAGCCACTTGTCTGGAAATACCGAAGACCAGAAACGGTTTTGAAAACTTTTGTCACGTAGTGATCGTCTTCTCAATAGAACATCTTTGATAATGTCTTCTGGCCAATCAGAATCAAGATAACGGTGTGGTGTTGTTGCAGGAAGTCCCGACGGAGAATACTTTTGCTGTAGTAGGTGCACATAACTGGTAAGCAGGTTATGTGCGTAATCTGAAATGCGTACCGTCACTTGTGTCATAAAGCGCATTTGCGTACGACAGAGTCGGTCTCCGTGTGCACAGACAGGGCTGCTGTACAACGGAATTGTGCCAAAACTACGCCAACCGGCTTCGGAGGGAGACTCCCCCCCTTCACTGGAGAACTGTGCTAAAACAGCTGGGGCCTCATTTATAACACCATGCGTAGGATTCACGTGGGAAGGTTGCTTACGTAGTAGAAATCCAAAAAATAGGTACAGAAATGTTCCGACATTTTCCGATTCACCAAACATTGCGTACCGGCGAGGAAAGTGCGTACAGCACTTCCTACGCCGGTTTCCCTTTATAAATCACAACCGACTCGAAATGCGGTGCAGCTTTTGCGGGCTTCACGTAACGCCCATATTTGCCTATAAATAGTCAAAGAAACGCCCATTCATTCATTTTGACTGACTTTATGAAGAAGATCGTAGGAAATGACGACAGAACAGCTAAAAAAGACATTCACACCGTGTCAGATTTTGGTTATTTTGGGGAGGTCGAGATAAATCATATTGTTTGGTGGATGCAGTTTGAACCAGAGTAGCAGCATGGAGGTCGGATCGTCACCAAAATAAATAAATAAGTGGTCCGAAAAAGGTTCATGACAAAAAAAATACACATAGCCTTCCTCAGGCAGTGTGTTTGATGAGAAACTGTAAGAAATGATCGGGGAATCCCTCCGGAGTGGAGTCATGACGACTGGATCTGAATTATGTTTTCGTATTTGGTGGTTTGTGTCCCAGCTGTCGATCAGCTGTGCGCAGCGTCTCCACTGCAGCAACTCTATATCCACCAGTTAAAGGAAATACAACTAATGTGTTGTGTTATATTAGCTGTACAATTTACCACATATGGTGTTCTTAGTTTCCATACCTCCTGTGTTTTACGAGCGACTTATCAAGTCTTAGCAAACGGCATAAAACATGACTAAACATGGTAGTATATAAAACCATGCTCGTACAACCTATAGAAATGCAAAACCGCATCATTTATGAGAAAACATTTCATAACATTAACACAACATATTCGAGGTGGTTTTAAATAACATATCCGTATTTATTTATTTCTCCAAGTTATGTGTTTGTGTGCACCGAGGAGTCTCAAACAGGCGTTTGTTTAATCATTTTAAGATTGGCTTTAATCAATGTTTGAAAATGAATTCTTCATATATGATAAATGAGAGGTAACATTTTATTTATGGTATTATTTCCACATATTTCTCTCCATTCTTCCTTCTGCCAACGGTGTCGCAGTTTCTCGTCTCTCCCGTTTTTGTGCTTAGTGCGTACGCATGGGTTAGAGTTTGCGTGGAGGACCGCACGTTTTCCCGTCAAGTTAGTATTTTATAAATCGCAAACATTGCGTAGAAACTGGCGTACGCCATTTTTTTAGCGTATATCCCTTTATAAATGAGGCCCCTGATCACAACGTTCACACTCTGGTCACGAAGTACTCCACTAGCCGTTGATAGAAATCAACACGTAATGAATTAAGACCCCACGGTTTGATGATTGATAGGTGTGTGGGCTGTCTTTCATTTTGACACACAGAAAAATGTTATAATAAACATACATACTGTATGTGAAATGGATATATCCGCCTTCTTTCATTTATCTTTCCATTCCCACAACAATATACATAAAGAAGTGGCATATTTTGGACATAGTTCGAATGGTGATTGATCATGATTAATTAATTTTTAAACTGTGATTAATCTGATTAAAAAATGTAATCGTTTGACAGCCCTAATTAATATAGCTATGTGGGCATGTGAGTGTACATTTGTATTTGATAGTACAAAGACTAAGTCATAAACATCTCTGTTTATAATACAAACATACTGTAATATTTAAACTAGACTAAATCTTACAAAGTCACCAAAGGATTTTAGTTATAATCTTTTTCATAAAAGAGCAGCATAACAATGTGCTTTGCATACCAGTCAGTTTTTAAGCTGATTGTCCGGGTTTCTTCACAACTTTCACAATGTTAGTAATCTTAAGAACTATTTGTGTCACACATAAAGCCAATTCTGCTCAGCTAATTATAGATTGCTGTATTTGAATGGCTTAATTGAAGGTGTTGGTTGATCAGCTTGACTGCAATATGTAACACAGTACCTACAATGTATTTACCTGTGACTTCAAGAAGGACGCACACGTTTAGATGCGTCACATTTTTAAGAAGCAGCACATATTTAGTAACAAAATCTAAACTTTACTTTTTATAACACCTTTCAAAACTAGCATTATAAATAATTCACTTTCAAGTTGTAAATGCGTTTTTTATCACGAGGAGTACAGTAAGCATTCCTGTTACCGGACAACATACTGTGGAGCCAACATTAAAATAATCTTCATCAATTGCATTTCTTGAGATGTTTATCGAGCAAACAGGCTAAACATTTGTTGTTTATCCTTTCAAAACTCGTCTGTAAATTCTTTTTTTGACTTGAATATATTTGGCTTTCAGACTAATGACTAGCTGTTAGAAAATATCAAGTAGAAGGGACATATCAGTATACAATTTTGAGATTCTTGACTTTAGTATTTCCTGCTTTGTTATACTTCTACCCACCAGAGGAACATTCACAAGCTACATAAGTATCATCACCTTTACTGGCTACTAGATTTCCACATTAATGAATTCATAATTGTATGCAATGTCTGAAATGGGCCTTTCTGCATAAAGAGTACTTTAACTTTTGATATATACATTTGATGACGATACTTTAATACATTAATTAAGTAAATGATTTCCTTGTGACAGGTATTCCTACACTGTGGCCATTACTACTTCCCGTAGGCACAAAACGTACGTTTATTATTTATTTACTACCATGAACTATGAACTAACAATAGGAGTTTGCTAATCCCCAGGAAGTAAAAGGAGAAACTTCAGGGGGCTAGAAGCTAGGTTTTCATACCCAACATTGAGATGGTCTACCAGGGCTTCTGTCAGACAGGTGGCCGCAGTGATAGCTTCACGCCTGCGTCTTTCTGTGCAAACAAAACATTAACAAAGACAAGAGAAACCATCAGTAATATTAAAGAAATACGAGGACTTCTGACACAACTCCGTCAGCTTTGTTTTTAGCATATGTTAGCACGACAGCTAACGTTAGCCAGTCACTCACCCTGTTGCTCCTTCCGCTCATTTTGCTTCGCCTGGTGCTCCTTCAGCAGACGAGACAACATCTTCCGTCTTCGTTGAGATTAAGTGCAAATGTATTTCTTTCTTTTAACTAGCTGAATAACATGGTTTTCCTAAACAGAGATGTTAGAGATGCTATCAGCTGACCGCTATCACGAGACCAAGCGCAAGAATTACAGGAGTAGGCGTGCCCAAACAAATGGCGTTATGCATCGCGTCATTGACTGTAGTTAATCGAATATTATTTTTTGTGTTCATTATTAATGCAACACACATGGGAGGGATTGCAACATATGATGCATTTAAAGATAATACATAGTTTAAACGCATATAAGGGATTTATGAATTTGTATTGCATTAATTTCAATATCAGTTTCGACGTCATTGCATTTCAGCCTTCAAAATAAAAGTTGTAATAATTAAACACACTACTACTTTACATAATACATCTAATGCTACTACTGCTACCACTACTACTACCACTACTACTACTACTACTACTACTACTACTACTACTACTACTACTACTACTACTACTACTACTACTACTACTACTACTACTACTACTACTACTACTACTACTACTACTACTACTACTACTACTACTACTACTACTACTACTAAATGCAATCGAATATGTGGAACTAAATTGTTCAATGTAACAGAAAATCATAACACAACCCTTATCCTTAGAACAACACAACATATTAAATTGAGATAAATGTAGTTAGACACATTTTTAAGGGAGTCTTTTGCCTTGTCAATATGAGTGTATGAACGAATACAGTGGCCATTTATTTAACATAGAATCTTTGGACAAACCCTTATGAATATAATGCAATACTGCACACATTGAAGGGAATTTTGGGATTACATCTCAGGGGAAGTGTACCTTGTATGATAGTATGTGACAGATAATATTGAGTGATTACCATACTTTATATACTGAAGTTTGGAGTCAGATCTATGAGTCTGTCAAGTAAGAATGATCCATCTCCATAAAAAAAGAGTAAACTCCATTCACTGAATAAGATCTTGATTGTGTTGGAAGCTCCACTAAAAAAGCTAGTAAGTGGACTTTTATGTTTAGAAACGTTTTGTCTATCTATTTCCAGGGCAAGTATTACTCTCCTCGTTAAATTCTGCAGAATGCATGGCTGCATATAGCTATAGTAATGTTAAGTTTTGTTGTTTGCAAAAAAAGAGATCAATATGTGTGTGCTCTAAAGATACCCTTTTATTGTGAAAAACTCCCGCCGGAAACACAAGTCTTGTTCTGGCTAGCGGAACACAGGGCTGATGGCAGGCAGCAACCTGTCAACAACCCAGGCATAGCTGGAACTAAAGTGTGCTGAGCCCTTTATCATCTGATTTTCGTCAGGTATGTTTATATATTACTTAATTGAATGACAGAAAGGTGTTAAATGTCCTCGATGTAATGATCTTAGCTGCTGTGGGAGGCGGAGTGAGTTAGCATAACTAACGTTAGTTAATGAACGGTTAGCTTTAGCCTCGGTGTTCAGGACGTCGGCTAACAAAGTTGTCCCAGGTGGTTAAACTAATCTGTTTCTCTAATGTATTCACCAAAAACCTTAACATTATAGCAAATACTACATGTTGGCAATGTAATAGTCAAAACTGTTACCATACAAACGGCTAGAAGTTGCCTTGACAACAGATCTCCTGCTGGCTAACCCCTGCTAACCTGACAGATAAAGCTATGATGCTGTACGGGCAGCAGGACCACGAACCCTCTTTGACAACATCAAGTCTATTATGCCTTTGAAATTGTATTAACCAACCCCTTTGAATAGTATTCAAACCACCTTCTTCCTGTTTAAGGGTATTGTCTAAAATTAGCAAACGGAGGTTCAGTGAGACTTAATATAGTTCAGTTAAAGATGGGACTGCCCGTTATGAAAGGTGCACGGCTGTATCTTCAAATAGCTTAGATTAAACTAAGTCACTGGTAACGTGCATTCTAGTCTAGTTTGTGTGTCTAAACATTAAGCTAATCGAAATTCTACATGCTGTATGTAGAGTTGTAACATAATGTTGTTGACGATGTGTCAGACCAGATTTAGGCTATCAATAAATGAGATTGCCTTTTAATGGTACTACTACTATAAAGCGAATTCACCTGAAATGTTTGGCTTTTTATTGTGGATAAACATTTTATTTGAGTTGGCATCACAACATACATACTCTTTGCGTGTCTTCAGATACCTGAAACCATCATACAAACCTTTTGCTTTGGTTATACATCCTCATACATCCATACTTCATATTGTATGTAAAGCCTGACTTGATGTTTCACCTACTGTAGCAACACAATAGCCTGATCACTCTGTAAGACTGCACAGTATCACATATTAATGTCTGATGTCGCTGGTTGCAGTTTTTGCAGGTCCGTTGGTGCAGCAAAACAAGACTGCAGTGTTATGGAAGAACCATGAAGGCCCAATTACAAGTCACTGGTATGTTTTCATTCATCTATGCATGATTTGAGCAAAAATTAGAAAACAACAAATAGGAAAAATTGGTAGAGGTTTAGTATTACATGACGTTGTTCATAAGCAGCTACAGGCTATGATTCTTTGTGATGCCTTATGTGCTGTCACTGTTCAGTACAGGGAGGCTACAGGAGCTGGTGGTTGGTATTTTTATGTTGTTGCATCTTCATCAAATGCACCTTATGTTACATTCTGAACAAACCCTCTAAAATCTTAGTTATATAACCTACAATTTAAGTGTTTTTTTTTCATTCTAGTGCTTTCAGCCAAGCTTAAGGAAAACAAAAAGACCTGGTTTGGTCCCAGCCCTTACGTTGAGGTAGCTGTGGATGGCCAGTCAAAGAGGACTGAGAAGTGCAACAACACACACAGTCCTAAATGGAAGCAGGCTGTCACAGTGTGAGTATAACCTTTGTGTTTGTCATAGAAAAAAGCTGATAAGTTATTAGATGATCCGTACTAGCAGTTCTGGTTATGGTGCAAACTTCCTGAGCTTAGAATATTGTGTCCATAAGGGAAAACTAAGTTCTTGAAGGGTACATTCTAAATAAATGATGTACCTGATTTTTAATTGTCACTGATTCAACAAAGTCCATATGCCCAACACTTATTACTTTACCATGGTTTCTGTGCCACTGAAATAGGTTAAGGTCTCAACTGGTAAGACAAATAAAACACATGAGGGGTGTTTTATTAATAAAACTCTGCTGCATTAATAATAACAACACCGTTCTCAAAATCATAGATTGAACCCATATCAAAATCTTTTTATTTTTTCCACCACAAGCAAATTATTCGAAGACATTGATGTCAAAAACAAATGCAGGAATTGACACTTAATATTTGAATTAAATTACATTTGATAACAGAAATATAAGAGATGTCTCCAGAGAAGCGATAGCCCTATGCAGTACATACATTTATTTTCCATAATTCAACTATAACTAATGCAGATCCTTCTTTATATTCTTCTCCAGTGTTGATGATGTTATTTTCTCACTTTACTACAGAATTGTCACCCCGGTCAGCAAGCTGATCTTTCGAGTTTGGAGCCACCAGACACTGAAGGCAGACATCCTGTTGGGAATGGCCATGCTGGAGATCAAAGAGAGCCTTAAAGCTAACGACCTGAAACGTGAGTTCACACTACTTTCTTTCTCTTCGGTGGTGTAATCTTGTGTTTCCTTGAAAATATTTTCTGTCAAACAAACAACATTTTGCTGCTATTTGACAAAGTGTACATCTCAGTTTATTTGTCAGTTAAACTTTGATTTAGTAAAAAATGTATTGTCCAAGGGGCAGCGTACTAGGCTAATATTTCTAGGCTCTTGCGGTTGATTCCCACATAATATTATGAGTTAGTCAGAACAAAGGTCCCACCACATGCCTTATTTATTTTAAGATAATAAAACATTGTATTCCTTATAATCTCCCTTTCAGTATTTGTATGTCTATGTCTATCAGCAGCATGTTTTACTTGGCAGATGTTTCACACACTGGAGACTCTATTTGTGTAGGAGTGCATATCAGCTTATTTTTATTATGAGAATGATTTATTGCGCTTTGATAAGCTTAACAACCAACAAGCACAGTACTCCCTAGGTTCTCTCTCCTGGGATACAAGCCTCCCCTGAGCGTGTGACTGATTGTGTGTGTCTGATTGCTGGAGGGCTTTCCCAGCTCAATACAATGGCTCTCCTTGTCTTGTGCATTCCATTTGACATAAAAGTCTGGTCTATATTTAGTATAGCTCCTTCTTTTTATTTTCAATACTAAACACGATTCATAAACGTTGAATCCATTATGAAAAGCCAGCAAATGGAGTCCTCTTAGAGAAAATGGCTCTTGTATGTGAATTTGGTGGCAGTTTATACTTCCTCTGACAATCCTTAGCATCATCTCTTTTGTTGTTGTTGTGAAGGGTCTAGTATGTGGGTGTTTGTCAGATGAGTGTAGCTGAAGCATTATGACACCTTTGCACATTTTCATCTCCTGTCAAACACTGTTTCTGTCCCCTCCCCAGTGTGTGAGGTGGTGCAGACGCTGCCGCTGTGCTCTGACCGAGACTCTCGGGATGTTGTTGGCGACCTGTCAGTCTGTCTGGATGGCATGCAGGTAGACCCAGAGACCCTCGCCACTGCAGAGAGAGAACATGGTAAGAAAGCACACACATGCACAAATCCACCGACAATGCACAGATCTGCAGAATTGTATTAAATCATCTGTTAGTGTGACATGTTCCCTTTTTTTCCCTCATCATATTTATTTAACAATCATATCTAGTTAGAATTGTCTCAGTGTCAGAGTTCTTTATAGAGCCTGGCTACTAAATTGACCAACTTGGTTATTACATAAAGATCAGTGTATATGTCAGCCTTTGAGTAAAATGTAGAAATGCCAAATATGAATTAATGTAATTGGCCATTACATAGTTTACTTACCAGAATGCACCAAGAAATACGATTCTACTTTAAAAAATAAAAAGTGAAATATGTAGCCACATTTGCGTTCTTAGCCCCTTGCAGCAGATAAAGAAAAAAATGGTTTCAAACCCAAGTTAATTTGAGTATATGTTGTCACTTGTCATCTGTTTCTTTGTTACTCTAGCTGCTCTTCCAAATGGAAACGCAAGGCAAAATGGAGACACTGGCAACAGGTTCAGTAAACTTTCATTTATA